GGTCCCTGTGTTCAGCAACTGAATCCTGTACAGCCCAGTCTCCAGCAAGTTTATTCTCCTTAAATACGTCGTGTCACAACTACTCATCCCTCAGGAAGAGACTTTCTGTCTAAATCAGCAGAATTAGGAATGCAAGTAGCAGGCTGAGAAAAGCCAGAGAATGTTTGAATCACCTATCCAAAAAAAAGCCCATGTCTGTGGAATACACTAAGTACACTTCTGGGGGAGGAGTGTGGGCTACTTTTTTCCCCAGGCTTTCCACCTTACCTCCCAAGAAAAGTGTAAATGTTCCCTGTTTCAAACTGCAATGTGTCTCATTTCTCTGAGCACCCACATCCCACTCTCAAGCGTGTCCTAAACTTCTAATAAATCTTTCTCTCGTGCCGTTTACTGAAGTGTCTTGAAAATTGTTTTCCTGTGATGTTTCTGTAACAGCTCAGTGGAGGCTGCTACAGTGAAACCAGCTTCAGGAATCTCTCAGACCCAGCCTGGTGATAAACCCGCTCCGTTCTGGGCCTCAGGAACGATGACCTTCCACCCTAAACATCAAGGGAGCCGCCTCTTTCAGCTAATGTTTTTAGACGTCCTGTATGATTTTCAGGTCAAGGAATGACTTCAACACAGAAGGCTGCTACACTCCTCAGATCCTATCAGAATAACCACCCATTTGGGGCCCAATATTCAGTCAGGTGCAGCTCAAATTTCATGTACAATGAGTCAAGACGGAGAACAGAGTTAAGATTTGGGTAATTAGGAGCCCCTTTGCAAACAAGTCCTAAAAATATAACCTTTGCAAGACCAAGCCAGTATGCAGGTAACCCAAGCCATATCCCTTTAAAACCTGACATGGTTCTCATGGAAGCTGTCTCTGGACACAGAGGTTAGAAAACCAGGGGGTCACACTGTTGCCAAGGGGACCCTCTAATCATATTTCTATATCACATGAGAAGATTGCTCAGCCCATGACCAGTGACTGCTTGTGTCCAACTGTGAAAATTAGCATACATTTTGGTGGATACAAAAAGAAAAAAAAATTTTTTTGTTTTTTTGTGATAGGATCTAACTATGTAATTCAGGCTGACCTTGAACTCACATCCATCCCTTGCCTCAGTCTCCCAAGTCCTAGAATTACAGGCATGCACCACCACATTCAGCAAGAAGTTTCATACATTAGAAAAATAGAACTACAAAACTTCTCCAGACACTTATGAGCGTTCCAACCTAACATAACTCTTGACCTGTTAGATGTCAAATGTACCAAGTTCACGGTCCCACAACATTGAGGAAAGAAGTCACAAACCAAAGGACAAAGTTAGGAGAGTTTTATTGGAAATAGAGAAGAATAGTTGCTGGATTTCCAGGAGGGGTCCTGAATGGGTGGTCACGCAGGCACTTTGTCAGGCATAATTTACACAGCAAAGTGACAATGTGGGTACAATCTGGGTCAAACTACAACCAATCTATAGGATTACAAACATAGCTACTTAGTTAATACAGATCGAGTGATGAAATGAGTCATGCAGCGAGGATATTTGAAAGAACAAAGGCATTTGGGGAGAGGGATGGGTCCAGATGTTTTAGTCACCAGCCAGGACAATTCATGCCTAGCTGCTCTTAGTGACCCAGGTGATACTAATTACAACATAATCTATGTCACTGTTTATTCCTCAGGGAGGTATAAACCTGGCCACGGCATCTTCATGTTGAGGCCTGGCCTTCTTCAGATGCACGTGCAGCCACAGTGCTGATGTCCTTACTTTTGTACTGACTTCCTTGAGAGCCTGGCACCTCTCCAACTGTACACCACTTTCTCTCTCACTTAGCTGTCTATAAGAGAGTTACGTTGGCAGGGACCTTATCCATGTGGGGAAATGAAAATTATCAGCTCACACATGTTTACTATGGAAAACAATTGCTGTTTTGAGACACGGGTACTTTTCTACATATGTGGTTCTAATTTTACTTGTGTGTTCGAGCAAACTGGACAGGATCATGCACTCTCATTTATCTGGCCCCAAAGATCAACACAGCACCTAAAACCCAATCCCAGTCAGCTCCTTCAGCCACCAGGACAACAGCCAAGCGAGCCATAGAACTCACTCTTCTACTAGTGGACCTGGGCATAGCAACTGGAATAGGAGGACCTGCCACATCTCTCTTCTTTTACCAAAGTTACCCAAGGGCCTGACAGTCTAGACAAAATTGCCAGAGACTGTCATCCTCTAGAATCAAACAGATTCATTGGCAGAGGTGGATCTACAAAATCCTAGGGAACTGCTGAGAAGGGGGATTATATTTGTTTCTAGATAAGCATTAGTTTTATGTCAATTAGTCTGGAGTAGTAAGAAATACGGGGCAAAAGCCAGCTGATTGCATTACTAAGCCTCCCAGGAACTAGCTGAGTTATGGGGACAAAGATCTAGAATTGGACATTCTGGTTACTCCCCTTGATGAAAGCTTTGTTACTGCATCCCATGGCCTTAATACTAGTACTATAAGTACTTTTTTAAAAAATGTTTTTGGAAGGGTTTTTTTGTTTGTTTGGTTTGGTTTTTTGCTTTTGTTTTTCCTCCTCCTTCTCCTCCTCCTTCTTCTTCTTTGGTACCAGGATCAAAGTCAGGACCTTGCACCAGGCAAGCACTTGTGTCACTGAGCTATATTCCTGGCCCCCCAAAAAATTTTTTTTCATGCACACAATCTGTACATCAAACTTGTTTCTACTCATTCAATGGCTATTAAACTACAGATGATGAAACAAACCAAATGTGGGAAGACAAAAAAAAAAAAAAAACACCAAAAGCTAGGTAGAAAGGAGACAAGGGAAATAATTTTTAAAACAAAAATTGCAGTTTCAGGACATAATTCAGTTTGTTTGTTTGTTTGTTTGTTTCTCTTCTCCCAGTACATAATAAGTCAGGGCAATTCCCTCTGATCTGCAAATATGTTCAGCTATCCTCTTTGTACGTGAAAATGGTCCTCTTTCACTTGCTCATCTTTTCACCTACAAATTAGGCCACTACCTAAAACATAAAGATGATCTTTCTATGGGTGAGCCATCCTCCCCTACCCACTAGACCAAGACCAAGGCCAGACCAAGATTACCAAATTCCAGAGTTCCACCACCAAAACTACAAATATTCCCAGTTCCAAACTATAAGGTGCCTTACTTCTCTGAGCACCTGAACTCCGCTCTTGAGTGTGTCCTAAAATCCCTAACTAAAAAACCTTCCGTTCCTCTTACTGAAGCGTCCTAAAAATCCTTTTTATATGACAGGAGTCAGCAACCCAGTAAACATTCTACAAAAGGATGGGCTCCTCTCAGACCTAGTGATACTAAGGACCAACACCCACCTTCGGATCTAGTGCTGATCAACCAATTCTCGGAGGAGAGGTAACGGTCCTTTGAGCCCCTAGATCCTGCATGGCAAGACTTCCACACTACGCAAGCTAGTGTCAAAACACCTGCTCAGCAGGAGAAGACTAACATTCCAGACTCAACGTCCGTTACAGATTTCGGGGGCCAGGTGGGTGGGGGGGGCAATAATGCACATAGTATGATCGGAGGCTACAGACCACTGCACTGCACCTGGGCCATGCCGCAGGGCAACCCCTGCCTCACACCCTTGTCCTGGGCCAGTGGGACGAACCTCTGGGCAACCGTGCTGCAGCCGACTGTTTGTTATCACTGAAAGCTCTAGATGTAAGAAAAACACAAACCTCCAAGCCTTTTATGAAAAATTCCAATATTCTAAACCAGGATGCGTGCCGGCCAGTCTGCCTCTCTCCCACACGTGACCTCTGGTGACCTTTCTTGCCTTGGAGGTCCTCGAAAGCATCTCATGCACACAGTTATTACACTGAATTACGTGTGGGAAAGGACATTGAAGTAGAGGCAACTGACAGAACTCAGTTACAACGTCTCATTCTTGCTCTGGAACATCCACCGGGAGGTGCCCTAAGCACTGGGTAACAGTTTAAAACCCTACACCCTAGCCTTCCCTTAGCGCCCTGCCTGCCAGCAAACCGGCTCGCCGGGAGCTAACACCGCTCTAAGAAACTTCGATGCTGTTTCCTTACCAGCCCGCGCAAGAACCTCGGAACCTGCCCTGGACCCCATCTCTCACAGTAACTGCCAGCTGCACCCCCACCCCGCCCTTTTCTTTTGGACTGGTTGACCCAGGGCCCTTGCACTAAGCAACATCCCCATGAGCTTCTCTTTTTGAGTCAAGGTCACGCTAAGTCCCTAAAGAGTGAAGTCTGGTACTGAATTTGCGATCCTCCCGCTTCAGCCTCCCAGGCTTGTACCACCAAGGCCGACTAGCTAGTTCATTTTTAAACCTGCTCATCTCATTTCGTAGGAGAACGAGCTAGGTTGGGGGCGCAGAGTCAGCTTGAAAAGCCACAGGCTGCCGGGCAGTCGGTCCTCCGCCGTTTCTGCAGCAGCTGCCCAAATGTCAAGGTCACAGCCCGGAGCGCCCATTCTCGCAGCGAACCGGGGCAACAGCAGCCCCGGAGGCCGTCGCCAGCGGGAGGACGCGCGCGACCCGGAGCAGGGGAGGTGCGGGCGCCCCGGCACTCGGCTGCCCGCCGCACCCTCCCGGGTCGGGCGCGCGCGGGGGCCGTCGGGGACGAGCGACCCCACGCGGCACGGCCGCGGTCCTGCGCCCCGCGGCGGCCGCAGAGAAAAAGAGCCGGCTGGGGCGCGGCGGGGCGGGGCGGGGCTCCCCGGAAGGAGGCGCCGAGCGGCCGCGGACGACCGTGCCACCGTCGGCGTCCCCGGGGGAGCAGCCGGCGCTGGGCGAGCAGCGAAGGAGCGGCCGCGTGCCCCGCGATCTGGGCGCACCGCACAGCCGGTCGTCCGGGATCTCTGTCTCCAAACAATCGGTTAGCGACTGAGCCGAACGGAGATCAGCGATTCAATCTCGTCCACCTTGGGCCTTCGTTTGACTAGGATTTGGTTGTATTTCTGCTTTTTGTTGTATTTTTGTCTTTTCGTGTATCTGTTTTTTCCCCTACTGTTTCAAGTCATTCTGCTTGCAAAATTGCATCTTCCCCTTCCTTTTTCTTCCCTTTAACTTCGCCTTTTAAAAAAGAATTGCGACTTGTGACTTAGACTATAAATTCTTTGCACTAAGCGTTTTTATCTGTAGATGTAGAAATAAGATGTCAAGCATATCCCCTCTCATGTTTCAGGAATTACATTCCAAATTCGCATAAAAACTTAGGCTGGAGAACATTTTAACCATTTGTTCTCAATACAAGCTATAGAAAATTTCAGAGCGGAACAATGCCAAATTTATTGCAAACCTCAGATTTATAAAATATTGATCATTCTCTATTAAAATTGTGGACTCTTGTGGAATTTTAACAGTTCATAAGACCAGCAAACTTCACTGATTTAGTGTACTGCTCTGTGCAAAGATAAATTGTTAAAGCTATTCCTGGCCCTAAAGGGCTTGCAGTCCAGCAGAATTGCAAACCTGCCTTGTTTATGAATCTAGTAAGGTTTTTAGACAAGGTCGTGCTGTGTAGCCCAACCTGACCTTGAAGTCCTGGAGATCTTCCTACCTCAACCTCTGGAGTGTTGGACTTATAGGTCCATGCCCCTTTGCCTGGCTTGGTATGAGGTTTTTGGTAGAAAGCAAGTGTTGAGGGGCCAACTCTTGAAGAGTTAAGAAATAATTTTCATCTTGGCAGATCAAAGATTTTTTTTTTTTTTGAGGCAGAGTCTTGCTATGTAGTGCAAGCTGACCTTAAACTCACTTATGTAGCCTAAACTGCCCTTGAGCTCACAGTGATCCTCCTGCCTCAACCTCTCAGTGCTGGTATTATAGGTGTGTACCAGGATACCTGGCAAGAATTCTTAGGTGAGTTTTGAAAGTTGGCCAACATGATTGTGTGTGCCTGTAATCCCAGCTCTCTGGGAGACTGAGCTGGGGTGAGTGCAAATTCAGTATAACCTGGGCAGTGTAGCTACTTGGTAAAACATTGTCTCAAAGTTTTAAAAAATGTCTGAGGAGATAGCTCATTGTGAAGGTCATGGGTCCAGTTCTGAGTGCTGGAAAAATAGTTGGCTGGACTGAAAGGAATTGCAGCAGGAGAAACTTGGGAACAAAGGCAGCTGGATAGTCCCAGAAACTAAGTGTGGGCTTGTACCTTGGAGTCCCGAAGAACCTTGTGTAGAGAACAGACCAGAAAGGAGGCAAGAATAAGAACAGAAATGTCACTGTTAGTGGAAGATTCACCTGGCATCCTCTGTGGGTTAAAGGAAGACAGGAGAATGGAGATTAGGACCATAATTCCCATCCCCCGTTCTGTTCTCCTACAGGTCCCATAATTTATTTAACTACTCCAACAGTTTTTAAGTGCCAATTAATTTGATTTCCTTCAATTAAAGGCACATCACTGCCAGGCGTTGTGGCACATGCTTGTAACCCCAGGACTCTGGAGGCTGAGACAAGAGGGTCACCATGAGTTTGAAGCCAGCCTGGACTGCATAGTGAGTTCATGCCAGCCTGACCTATATAGCCAGACCCTGTCTCAGACAAACAAACAAACAAAAAAGATACATAACTGCCAGTCTGAGCTTTTGATCATCTATGGGATATCAGTGTTGCTAAGTAGGAAATAAATGTAGCCAAAAGCATAAGAATGTGCCTGAGCAGGCCAATAGTGTTTAAGAGACTGTTGATGTTGCTTGAAACTCTCAGTACTTTCATCATTGGAACCTTTGTGCACCCTGATGGAACCCTTGGACCTTGAGTGGTGACCACTGAGCTAAGTAAGCGTTAACAAGGGAGTGGGTGAGAAGCACAGTAGTGGAGGAGGAGGAACTGCCAGAGAAGGAGAGAGCAGAATTGAAATGACTTGGGTTCAGAATAGACAAGAGTGGTGAGGGAGCTGAGTGTGGTGGCACGTTCCTATAATCCCAGCACTCAAGAGGCTGAGGCAGGAGAATTGCCATGAGTCCGAGGCCAGCTTGGGCTACAGTGAGTCCAAGGCCAGCAGCGAAGGTTGGGGAAAGGCATCAGCAGAACAGAGGTGACTAGGGAGGTGGTGCTGATAAGGGAACAGTAACACCCACGCCCATCCTGCACCTGCCAGACAAGACTGTAGCATGCACTGAAGAGTTAACGGCTGTGTACCTGGCATTGTTGTCAGTCATGTTGCATGAATTGATTCATTTGTATTTCTCAAAACCCCCAAGAAACACAGTTTCTTTTACCCCCATTCACAGTAGGGTAAAGGAAGCCCAGAGGTGTTAAGTAGCAGGCCCAAGGTCCTCCTGCCGAAAAGTGGTGCAGCCAGAATGCAGACCCATGAAGTCTGACTCCAGAGCTGGGCCTCTCTAACTCCCCCACGATAAGAAACAGATAAATTGTTCAGAGGACAAGAAGGCAGGTTCACTTTGGGTAGCTTGAGTTAAGATGTGTGCAGCAGTACCAGGTGAAGATGGGCAGCAGGCATAGCACTGATCTCATGTGATGCTCAGATGTTCCTGGGGTAGACCAGGCCCAAAGGCCAGGTGGCCTGGCTATTGTACGAAAGGTGGTCACGTGAGGCTCGGGGGTCAGAAGCTTGTCTTAGGATATGTCTTGTGTCATCCTTCTGGGCCAGGTGATTGCATTTATCTTTGGAGACTTCCAACATGAACTGGGAAATGTCGATAAAACCTAGTATCCTGTACCTTTTTTAAAGCTGTCCTTTTTACTGCCACTTGATACAAAGCAATGGATTTGAGTTTGATTTCAAGACCAACTCTTGAGGGGCACATGTCTTGCTTGCAAGAAGTGTTATGTTAGCTTGGCACAGAAGCAGGATGTATTTTTCAAAAGTTCCCCTGAAGGGATACAGAAGAAATAGAATGTGTCCTTACTGAACTCCAGAGATTTATTTTCTATTTGAGGAGATGAAATTAACAATTATATGACAAAAGCAAACAAAATGGATAGGTTCATAGTTAAGTACTTGAGAGGCTGAGTCGGGAGGATTATCGCAAGTTCAAGACCAGCCTGGGCTACAAAGTGAGCTCAATCCAGCCTGAATTGCATAGTGAGACCCTTTCTCGAAAAGCCAAAAAAAAAAAAAAAAAAAAAGTACTACATTGTGGGAGTCATATTTCAGTAGTGGGCATTGAGTTTTTAAATGTACCCATGATATCGAACTTTAACATACCTTCTTGTTGATCACCGATAGAGATCACTATAATTGTTATATGCCCATTAACTTTTGTATAATTGCCACAAAACGCCAATGATCATTTACTTTCATCTTTGATTGTTTGATACGGCATGTGTGGCTTCAAGTTGGATTTGTGGCTTTTCATATTTTACAACTCAAATAATAATAACTATAACTATGAAGAGGCAAAGTTGCCTTCCGAATCCAGGCTCTTACCTGGTGTGCCGTGTTCCCTCTCATGGCCTTTGTTAAGCCCTCGACACTGCCCAGACGGGTTTGCTCTGCCAGGTGAAAGGGTTGTCCTGGCTGCAGCTTGTGGCCCAGGGTTGGCTCTGCACAGGGAGCACAGGTCTGGGAAGTCATCATCCAGCTACGGGCTCAGCATCTCACGCACTCACCTACACTGACCTCGGGGTGAGTGGAACACCCACTCCTGGGGTCTTTCTGGGGACTTGCTGAGATGGAGAAGAGAGTTGAATATGTAGTGTACATGGTCTCCTAGAATCAGGAAAACTTGGCACAATTTGGCAAAATTAGAATATGAAAGAATAATTAGGTAAATCTGATAGTTATATAAACTGTGCTGAAATTTTAAGTACTAGTTGTAAGTGTTGATTTTAGGTAAGACTAGCTGAAAAGAGAGCAGAATGTCCTTTTTGCTTTTTTTCTGACAAATTTTAATTTAAATAATAACCTTTTATATTGGATTCACGTGGGTCTCTTGAGTGTTGTTATCACTACTCTGAAGTTTAGGGCTGCCTGGGTCATTTTGTAATTAAAACAGGAGGCCTTCCAGATAGCATTTTCCAGGGTCCACCCTCTCCTTGTTCTTAAAGTTTTATCTTAAGCTCTAAAATTTAGACTTAAGCTGAAAATTTCACAATGTGTGTTTGTGTGCTTCTAAGCATGTTTTATAGTTCTAAAGGAGGAATGGACTTTGCCTGGGAGTATGGTTATTAATTGACATTTCTTGAAGACAGGAATGACTTTGTGTGTTTTTTCAGACTTTCCAGCAGTTCAATGGGCTCCCCAAGGAAGAAGCTTCAGGGCCTGGTTGCTGCCACACTCACACCAATGACTGAGAATGGGTAACTATCATTTGGGGCCATAAAGGGATCTGTTCTCATTCAACTGACAGGACAGAAGCTGGTGATAAGGTCCCTTAGGCTCGGCTCCTCTGCAGTATTCTTGCCAAATGGTGGCAGCTCCCATGACTCACCCTCTGCACTGTCCCTAACCTCCAAGTCCGAGAAGGACCTTGTATCTGCATTCTCCTGGTGTCTGTAGTTCCATGAAGCAAGTTCTTTCACCACAGCTCTGAATCTCCCAAGTAGGGCCAGTAAATTGCATGAGGAGAATCTTATTTTGACATGATTTGATATCAAGCACTATCCTTGCCCCTCTAGGGGAGCCAGACTTCTGCATGATTCAGCCATGCTGTTCACAGACTTCATTAAAAGGTTATATCCTGCAGAAAGTGGGAGAGTATCCACGAAATAGGCCCCTTGTGCATGTTTATAATCTTTTTCTCAATATTGGTTAAATGTTAGGACATGGAGGGATGCAAAGGAACAGAGGAAACAGTAGGTGACTTTTGAATAATCATTACCCAGGCTTCTGGACTTGCAGATGAATACTATGACAGTCCCCTTATTTGTGTGATTGGACAATGGTCCTGTGCCCTAAGTGGTCCTGTGCTATATATAACTCCTCCTTGAACATTGCCTCAAGAGGGAATTCCCCTGCCCCCTGGATCTACATGGTTTTGACCTGTCAGGGGCATCAAATTACTGAATAGAATTCTGAATTCTTCAAGCATCTCATTTCTTTCTTTGTCCGTAGTGTTCTACCTATGTCATAGAATTATGAACATTAAACACAAGAATGCTTAGTACAGGCTCAAAATGCATTTAGGTCAGTAAGTTTAACAATCACGGCATTGGACAAGGGCAAAAGGAAGATGAGCTATTCAAGATTTTTTTAAAGGCTTTTCTTTTTCATGTACTGTTACTGAATTTGTAAACCTTACCTTTTTAAATGAAATTTCTTAGACCTTTTAGTATTCTCATTTAACTGTGTACCTATCACAATTCTTCCTCAGGTCATTAGACTGCTAGACTTCTAGTGTGTATGGTTCATGAAAAATCATACCCTTACTGGGTCTAACGTGCTGAGATAGCATTTAGATTACTCAGCTGGTTAAAAATTGTTTTTCTATTCCTTTTCCCTTTCCGCAACTTCTGAGAAACAGTGAAGTCAGCTTTTTCTCAGTGCATCAGCTATTGGTCGAGCAGATAAAACGGAGACAAGTGACCATGTGAGCAGGGAGGGTTTACTTCCTGCCACAGAGCAAGAGCCTGTCTGCAGGCTCAGCACACTCCATGTGGTTCGTGCCACTTTAACCTCTGAAAAAGACCTCTCAGTCTGGAAGTGGCTCCTTCAAACAGTCTTGCTGTTCACTGGGACACATTGAGAGTCTAAGTGAGTTCTTCCTCTTTGTTCTGCTGTTTTCCTGGAAATCCAGATGCTGTGAATTACAAATAACTCAAAGGGCTCTGCTCTTCTGGATCTTTTCAACTTCCCCAAATTCTCTAATCCTACTGCCTCTATTTCACCCTTTCCTCTTTCTCCATCAATTCTTATTTTCTCTTTGAGGAACATTACTTTCCTGAAGTACGAAATCAAAATGAGAATATGTAGTTTGTAGGAACTTTTGGAGTATTAAACAGTGTGTAGCACATGACAGATACGTGAGCTGTGTTAGCTCTTTTCTCTCTCATCTGTTCTATGAAACATTCCTAGCCAGTGTGGGGGCACATGCCTGCAATCTCAACTATTCAGGAGGCTGAGGCAGGAAGATTGCAAGTTCAAAACCAGCCTGGGCTACAAAGTGAGTTCAAAGCCAGCCTGAACTGTATAGCAAAACCCTGTCTCAAAAAGACCAAGAAAAAAAGGACTTGAGTTGTAGCTCAATACTCCTTCAGATCAAATGCTAATACTAAGAGAAAAACAGTTCTTATGTGTACAAATGGGTTTGTACCCCTTGAGCACAGGTGGGCATTGACCTATTGGACTATAAGAGATCAGGCAGACATAAGGGGCACATTGGCTACAATAACTGGAAATACTACCGATTGATGTGCTGTTGTGAAAGTGTTCCTAACATGGCTTGTCAGGAAAACCACTGCCTCTGTAATTCCCAGGGGCTAAACACACAGTGTTTTCCTGAAACCCTTTTTCTTCTTAATTCCAAAGTCTATTCACTAATGATTCTGCCTGCTTACTGTAAGTTGATGTTTCAAAATAAGGAAGATAACAGAAAAAATATTGGTAAATGAATTTTGGTTAATGTATCTGGCTTGCCAGGTGTGATGGTGCACACTCAGGAGGCTGAGGCAGGGGAATTGCTGTGAGTTTAAGGCCAGCCTAGGCTACAAAGTGACTTGAAGACCAGCCTGAACTGCGCAGCAAGACCCTGTCTCAAGAAGAACAAAATGATAAAATAGAGTATCACCAGCTTTGCCACCAAGTACCTCTTTTTACCCATTGAGTGCTTTTATACTCTGAAAAGAGACCAGTCACGGTCACTCTAGGAGCGATTCTGACTCTGAGAGTGCAGTTCTGTGGCACTGTCATTAGCTACTCTATATAACCATTTGAGACTGTATAAAGTACATGAAAGCCAGTCTTCCTTCACCCTGCATCACAGTGAGCTTCCCAGTAAACACATCTGGTCGCGTCGCTCTCCTCTTGAGAGATCACTGTTAATTTTCTTTTGTTGAAGTCTTGCTATGCGTGATCCAGGGAGCCGGTACCTGAGTGTCATAAGGGAACTTTGCAGGATCTCAGGCCTACCCCATACTACTGAATCAGAGCCTGCATCTTAATAGTGGCCCCAGATGATTCTTTAGCACGTTAAAGTCTGAAGTAAACTAATAAAGGTTAAAGCATAGGCTCCCTGGGAGGGCTTGGTAAATCCTTCGTAATCTGTCTTTCATTTCTGCTGCCTCATTTCTGTTTCTGCAGGTGCCCTTTCTTCCCCTCCAGGATGCTCCTGTCTTTATGGATTCTGTGTCATCTGCCTCTTTCCACCACCCACTTTCCTCTCTCTGTGAGGACATTTCTATTTATCCATCAAACCACTAAAGGGCTGAAAGGAATTTCTCTTTCCCCCTCTAAAAGTCTGAGTCCTTAAATCTGCTGAAATAAACTTACTGTTTAATAAACAATGTAAGCATACAGATATATTTAACATGCACTTGTGCACAGGAGCCATACAGAATACACACTGCAAAACGGGACCAGGTGGTTGAAGCTTACATCTCCTTGTCAGAGGTAGTGGGCAGCAGGGGTCCAGGCACTTCTAGAAGGAATGAATGATTTTCAGGAGAAATCAGTGGGCTGAAGGAGTAGAAAATAATTTGTAAATTTTTCCCTAGAAGCTAAATGAAACCAAACACACAGTAACTGTGATAAAATGTCTAGGTGTAGTAACATGTGCAGTCTTTCTTCCTGTGATGGCAGATTAATCTTCTCTTGTCAACAAAGTTTAGGCAGATGATAAAGACAGAAATTGTGTTCCTCCTGGAGTCTTTAGGGGCTTCCTCCAAGGAAGCTTTAGAGAATGCATTTCACCTTGTGCCTGGGGACGAAGCAGGAGGAGACCGGAAAGCTCTTGCCTCTAAGGCCGTTTCTAATGTTCTGCTCTTCTCTTTTCTTTTCTTTCTTTTTTTTTTTTTAAATTTCTTTTCCTTTCCCTTCCCTTTTTCTTTCCTTTCCCTTTTTCTTTTGTAATCCAGGCTGGCCTTGAACTCACTATATAACCCAAATTGGCCTCAGGTTTGCCATGACCCTCTCGCTTCAGTTTCTGAATGCCAGGATTACAGTCATGTGCCACCACACCTAGATGCTTCTAAAGCTTTTTTGTTACCTTTAGTTCAAAGTGCCAAGCATACCAAAGTGCCGTACCTTGAGCTACAGTTTTCCAGCTCCAACATCAGCCTTTAGTCATTCTTCTCCATTTCCCCTAAGAGAGTTTAGAGGCTCTTTTTCCCCTGTGATCCCCTAGCACCTATGATTACCTTTTTGCATTGTATTGAAATTATTTATTTATAATAACTATTAAAATAAGATTGTTATGTGCCTGGGTCTTCCAGCTGGCTTTGAGCTGTCTTGCCTTATTTAACAGGTATTTGCTGAGTGCCAGGTACTGTAGAAGGCCTGGCTTATATCTTATTTAGCCTTGTAACTTCAGTATCTAGCAAAGTTATGCCACAATTTTGTTATTTCATGAGTGAATATAATATAGAGATAGCATGCTGATAGTCAAGAGAAAAAATGGAAAGAAGTTTACCCTGATTGAAAATCACCCTGGGTCTTGTGTTTTCTTGTTTTTTCTTTTTTTCTTTGTGTGTGTGTGTGTAAGTGTGAGTACCAAGGGTTGAACTCACAACTTTGCACTTGCCAGGCAGGCACTGTGCCGCTGAACAAAACCACCGTGGGCATTTTCATTGACATAGGTCAACTAATCTTGACAATGCAACAGAGCTAAAGCTCTTTTTTTGCATTTGGAAAAGCTGGGATGTTAAAGGCTAGCACCCTCTCCCCAGGACACATAGCTGCAAAGGGAAGGTGTTTTTCCATCCATCCCAAACACCTAACCATCCCTTTTTTTTACCTTTTCTTTCTTACCTTTCCCTAATTCCTTTTCCCTTCGTTTTATTTTTGTGTTTTTGTTTTTTCAATTCTGAGAATTAAACCCAGTCCTTATATATGTTGGCTCGCACTCTATCACTGAAGTATACCCCCAGGGCCTGTCTCCTTGGTCTACACTAAAAAAAAAGAGAAAGACTCTTGCTTTCCTTTGTAACTTCAGGAAGGCATTTTTCCCTTTGGGCAAGTATTTTAGATTGGCCAAACTTTCAAGAAAAAAGTTGTGTTTCTTAAATGTGTCTGGCTTCAACATGAAAATTTTTACAACTCTGAAACAAACTTCATGGGGCTGGGTATTTAGCTCAGTGACATAAGCACCTGCCTGGCAAGTGTGAGGTCATGAGTTTGATGCCCAGTGCCAAAAAAATAAACCTCTTACCACTGTCAGAGAGGGCCTGGCAGAATTGCATTCGTTATTGTCTCTTTATCAATATTTGGGAGGATAGGTGGCCAGGCTCCCAGATCAGAGTATTATCAGCCTCCAGTAGGGTGGGACATTCGTTCCCTACACTGCTGCCCAGGGAGTTTTGTGTCATGTGCCAGGAGGGAAAAACAGCAATGCTGAGTTCTGTCTGAAAAGCTATTTCAAAAAAGCTGTCTTGGGGCTGGGGATTTAGCTCAGCGGCATAAGTGTCGTGAGTTCGATCCCCGGTACTGATAAAAAGGAAAAAGACAAAAAAAAAAAAAAAAAAAAAATATATATATATATATATATATATATACATATGTATATATATATAAAGCTGTCTTATCTTTGTGCCCTGAGAAAAGAGCTGTAGAATTCTCTTACAATTCCACTGTGACAGGGCCTAAATTTGTGGTAAAAATAATTTGATAAGAGTTCCTTCCTTTTATGGGTAAACTAAATGCTAGGAAAATTAGCTAAATTATGTTCAGCCATAAGATGGAGTATTGTGTTGTCAGTATAGTAATATGTTATCTAAGAATGTGGAGAAATGCCCAATTTAGAGTCCTAAATAGAAAAATATTATAGAACTTCTATAATATCATTATAGTCACATAAGAGGTCAGGTACTGTATATTTGTGAATAGAAAAATATCAAACTCCAGGAAGAATCATTTCCAAGTTTTTTCTTTTTTATTGTGTATATTTTCTAAAATGATCTATGTAGTTTCTGTAGTAGGAAAAGAAAACAGCTAAGTACTTTTATTTTTTTATTTTTAAATATGTCATGTAGCCAAGGCAAAGGATCTGCACTCACAAGACTTGGAATTAAGACCGTAGCCTGGGATTAAGTAGGAGAATGGCAAGTGAGCTGTTCAGGGCCGGTCATCCTCCCTTGAGCTAGCTGTGCTTAGATGTGGTCTCACGGCTCACCGAGGAGACACAGGTAGAGTACAGCCTGCACCAGGAAGCTGACATGACACCTCACTTCTGTGAGCACCAAGCCCCAAATGCGCAGAGAGACAAACAATGCAAGTTCCTCATTTTGCATTCTTTCTAGTGACCTCCTGCTAATTAGTACAGGACCTTAGGCCATCAAGTGAGACCTAGGAATCCTGTAGAGGATCCTGTGGAAGTAGAACCAGGGAAAGGGACAAAGTCCCCAAAGAGAACTATGAACACTTTAACCCTACCACATGAGATGACTGTGATAACTGATGACCGCCCGGTTGGCTTCGCTGGGTCCACTTGTGACTGGGCCTCTGGGTGTCTCTGCCAAGGGCTGCAGCCTGGTCTCTGCAGAGCCAGGCAGGGTTCTGAATGGCCTCAGATGTCCTGGGGAGCCCCTGAGCCTCAGGCGGGGCAGCCACTTTTCTTGCCTACAGTATAGAAGTGTAACCTGGGCATCGTTAGATATCCTGGCTTTTCCAACAGAGCCACTTTTGTTTACATTTTATATTTTACATTTACATTCTTTTACATAAAAAATTCTGACCTTATGAGAGTCAAATAGAACATATCTAGAGGTTGCCACTTTTCAATCTCCAGTGTTCCTAAGGATATTTAATAGTTCCCAAAAGACCATAGGTGCAAAGTCATTTTCTTTACAACTCTGCCACTGCCCAGGAATTTTACTATTGCTGCCATTCCTGTAGGTTAGAGGCATGTTAGAAGAAAAAGACAAGCTGCTTTCTCCATTCTTGAAGGGACAGATAGTTCATCACCCATTACCATTCGGTCTGAGAGGAACTGATGGACAAGGCAGCATTCTCCCCGGCCAGGCTCAGGGATTGTGGCAGGGAAGGGAGAGGGTGTACGTGGGAGCTGTACCCAGCGAGATCAGCAGACGAGTGAAGTTCTCTGAAGAAATAGAAGGAGTCTTGAGTTTCACACATGGACCTAGGTCTGCCTACCTGAGGCTGCAGCCAACACCCTAGAAAGAGAGCACCACCAGGATAGGGCCAGATGGCTGCCCTGAGTACCGCTGGGAGGAAGGGAGTCGGAGGGTGCTGCCCTTCTTCCCCGTCCAGACCTAGTTCCTTGGTGTCTCCTTGACAGCCTCCCTGCTTGGCATTCATCAGTCCCTCTTAACCCCTACATGTTTAATTTTTGACTCAGTCAAAGCTATTGTATTTTCCTATTTTAGTTCATTATCCATATCTACACTATATTTTTTACTCAGCTACCATAATAGTGAAATTTCAAAACCTCGTGCAGTGGTAGAAACTGCTGGTAAAGGCGGGGATCCTTTAGGTGTTCACATCCCCACTCTTTGCACAGCCTTGGTTCAGCACCTGCTCTGTGCCAGGCACAGGTGAGGGAAGGGAGGGGCAGTGCTGTGGCATTGTGACGTGAGCCACGTGGAGGGCTTTGTTCCCTCTTAACCTCAGTAAAGCAAACCTTTCTCTCCCTTTTCTCTGAGCACACCATGGGCAGTGTTCGCCTCTGCAGTCCTTGTTTTTAGTCTGTTTGCTTCCCTTTCTAAATTAGTTAAGTTTAGGTACACATAATGGTCACTTTTGTCATCGGGAGTTTTACCTGTACGTGATCTAACTTGACTCTTTTCTCCCCATTCCCATCCCCTCTCTTCAACACCTCTTCCCCTCCTTATTTACAAAAGCGTTGTCCATTTTTGCCTTCTTTCCTCATCATTTTTTTTCTCTTCATTCCCCTCCTACCTCCCACTTGACCACGTCTTTGCTTCTAATCTCCGAGTCAGCCGTGTTCAGCTCCTTGTTCCTATTCTCTGATAAATACCCTTTGATGTCTGTTTCCTAAATGCATCAGATTTTTGCTCTATTTTTGTTGTTTAAAGAACACAATATGTAAAGATGAAAAGAATGTTAATAAGGCTAAAGTTAAATTAGGAGTCTCGGTTCCTACTAACAAAAGTACAAAAGGCAGCCAACTAGTACTTAGTGTTCTTGGCAGAGTGACCGTGGTGCTGCCACATTAACCCAGACTCGCCGCACCGTGTCCCTTCGTATTTTCTCACACCATCGCCTGTCGCCCATCCTCCCCATCTGTGCGTTACATGGGGACAAATCACATAATACAGTCTTTCTGAGTCAGTTTATAGATTTTTTTTTTTTAACCAGGAATCAAACTGAGGACCTTGAGCTTGCCTGACAAGCTCTATGTCCCTGAGCTATATCCCAGGCCCCATTTTACAGATTTTCAAGTCAGTGTGATTTTAGGAAAAATTTCCCTGTCGCCTTTAGGATCAAGCGCCTGGCCCAGGGAGGGGAGGACTGTATGGCCTTGGGCCTGCATTTTTAAGAACACCAATGCTGCTTTCCCCAGACCTCTCTTTGAGGGGCAACATGGCAGCAAAATTCCCCTCCAGCTGTTAGTCTTTTCAGTATGAAACTAGCAAATACAGATGGACTTAAATCTACCTGTGTTATCACCAATATTAAGTGCTGAAATTCTTATATTACTGAGTGAATTTTCCAATCTAAGCCTAAGAAATAATGTTGCCCACCAAATAGAAAATATTAAGTTCTCATCACATCCTTGTCCCCAAGCATCACTCTTCCTAAAAAAGAACAAGAGAAGAGAGAACCACTTTTAAAATATTACGAGAGGTGCCGTTTAAATGCAGAACCTCTCTTGATAAGTGGTAGTGTTTTGCTCACTTAAGTCAGGCACTCAGCACAAGGGAATCTGGAGGAGAAGTCACTAGAGTCAGAAAAGCAGCAGCAAAACAAAGGCGTTATTCAGAGCAGTCCAAGAATTCGCTAACTGGCCAAGTGGATTTTTAATGTCTACTAACAAGATAGAGCAGTGTGTAGCCATAGGAATTGGAATAGTCCTCTAAAAGACTAAATGTGCACTCTTTTCAATTTTTTTCCCCTGCCTTTTAGAGAAATCAACTTTTCAGTAATTGGTCAGTATGTGGATTATCTTGTGAAAGAACAGGGAGTGAAGAATGTTTTTGGTAAGTTACCTTGCATTTTCTCTGTGTATTTCTCATTCAGTCTTTTGAAGATAGATCTCACCTGGCTACTGACCAGGCAGTCATAGAATCACCGTGTCACAGGCTATGCTAACTAAAGGATGTGCATTTGTGGGCCCACCTGTGTTTGATCTACAAAGCACCTCAGGATCTCATTTGGTAGTGTGCCAACTGGTACGGTACTGTTTTTATTGCCATTTAGAAATAAAAGTCTGTAGCCCAGTTTTTTGATTAGGCCATTCAACCAAGAAGTGGTAGCTCAGCTCTCGAAAGAACAAAATCCTCTTAGCTTCTTAGGAAAGAGATTTGGTCTGTCAGCATCTGAGCTCGCAAACTGTGAGTGGAAGAAAGACTCCCGCAACACAGAGGGACCTCAGTTCTATCATTTGTCTCTGCTCACTTCAGAAGCAGTGAAGGTTGTAGGGGCAGGAGGGGCAGATCTTGAACAAATTGAGCTGCTCCTTACATGGCATTCTGGGCTCTCAGCTCCCTGATGGGTTTTTTGGAGGGTTTTTTTTTTCTTTTTTTTTTTTTTCCTCCAATATTGGGAGGTGAACCCAGGATCTTTGCATTGAGCTGCAAGCCAGCCTTCCTTTTATTTTTTATTTTGAAACAAAATCTCCCAAAGTGGCTAAATTGCCCAGGTTGGGCTGGAATTGTACTCCTCCTCATTCCTCAGCCCCCCAGTGTGCTGGGATTTGCCAACACATCCAGCTTAGTTTTTTGTTGTCTTTTCTTTTTTTATAAAGAAAATAAAGCAAAACAAAACAGAACAAAGCAGTTCAGAACAAAACAGTGCAAGCAACATGGGATTTCAAAACAAGACAACAGGAAACCAACCATGGCTACCAAGTGTCTCCTGATCTCCCCAAAAGAGTTGTCTGTGCCTTCACATACATTGAATTCAAACAAAACAAAACAGTATAAAACTGATCAAAACAAAAGAATGAAAGCATTACCAGCCTTCAAAACCAGACAACAGGAAAATCAACAGTGGCTACCATAACATCTCTTGTTCTCTTCAAAATTGCTGTCCATACCTTCACACATATTGAAATCAAATAATAGGAAACAGACTAAAACCAACAAAAAATGAATAAAAGCATTATTGGGCTTCAAAACAAGATGATAGAAAATCAGCAGTGGCTACTATAATGTCTCATTTTCATACCAGTAGCTGTTCATACCATTACATGTAATAAAATCAACTCTTGTAAATCCTTTAGAAGTTCAAGGCATGTATAAACCTATACAGGTACATCTATCCTTTCTGTATTAAAGGGAAAAACAAAACAAAACAAAATGCAAGAAAAACAAAAAACAACAGAGACAAATAAGTAATAACAAAGAGCCCAAAATAATTACAATACAGGCTTTCAAAACAAGGTGGTAGGAACATAACTAATGTTATTTTGCATGGTTATCTTCAAAAGAGTTACTCAGATTATCAGATATAAACATGCAAAATTGATCTAATCCTATGAATGTTAGCTGTTTTGTTCCAAGAACTAATAGAAATAGTTGTATAATCATCTCAGCTATCTTGTATATATATACAAATTTATTTTTTTTAATTTTCTCTTCCTCCTTTTCTCTTTTTCCCTGAGTTATTTTCCCCCTTTGAGCAGTTCCTTACCTTTTCACAGTATTTATTGAAGACTTGGTATCTTACTTACTCTTTTAGTTTCTTACTCTCAGGAGATAATACAATATTTACACACGTGAGTTTGATTTATATCACCTATGAGTATGGATAAAAAAGATGTATTTTTATACAATGGAATACTACTCAGCTATTAAGGATCACACGGAGGTTTCAATAGGTAAATGGATGCGACAATACACCCAGCTTTGAATGGGTTTTCAGTCAGAGGACACCATATTTGGGCCCTAGAAACACCACAATAGAAATCAAACCAGTTAACACGTGCATGAAAAAGTGACCCAAACCTCATGTCAAAACCTGGATCTGACTAGGGAGCCACTCCGTGGCCCCTGCGGCTCCAAACCACAGTGGGGAAGACAGACATGTACTCCTCAGCAAGAACTTGGTCTGTGTGCCCAAGGCGTACTTGAAGTATCTTGAGCCCCTAAAGATAAGAACAACATTGCTTCCCCTCTCCCCTGCCTCCCCAGCCCTCCCTATCCAGCCCAGCGCTCCGCACTTGGAGATTCAGAGTGTGGCCTGGCCTCGTGAGGCTCCCTGCTGCCACTGGCATTTGCCTACCCTCACCACGAGATGGTTAAGTAGGAGGAAGACGGAAGAGAATGAGTTTAGGAATCACATGGTTCTGGGTCACACGTAAATTATTTGCTGTTTCAGGCATCATGTTTTCCTCTATGAAGATGAATCATTTGTTGCTTTACTGAGTTGTAAGAGAAAGGGCATACATGAGTGCTTGCTACAAAAGGTGTGTACTCTGTGCTTGCTTACGAATGATTTCTGTAAGTCGCACCATGTCAAACTAGAAAGTAATTTTTGATTTATAGTATGCAGAGGAAATCCTACTTAGAACCTGCTCGACCTGCCATTACCGAAGGGGACTGATTTTCCTGCAGTGAGAGGCCAGGTATAGAACTGGATGGTGTACTTGGAGATCGGCCTAAGATGTGGGTAGTTATCTCTGGAGGCCAGGCTGGATTTGTAATTATAGATCACAACTGCCTTTCCACTGCTCTTGACAAGGTACAGGCAGAAAAAAGACAGAGGCTGAAGTGAAAATGGACACGTGGCATTTCCCCACCCCGCTTCATTCCCATGTTTCTCTAGGTTCTTCCTCTCAGGCAGCAGTCTCTGAGCCTGTGCTTGCAGGGGATAAAGGCATCGGCTGTTCCCACTGACTGACTCTTTGTTTGGAACAGTGAATGGCACTACAGGAGAAGGCCTGTCCCTGAGCGTCTCTGAACGTCGCCAGATCGCAGAGGAATGGGTGACACAAGGGAGGAACAAGTGAGTGGCTCCAGTGAAATAAATGCGGTACATTCACAAGAGCTGTGTTGACTGAGGCTCTTCCCCAGTGGCCCAGCCTTCCTGCTGGGCCAGCGGTCAGCTGGGGGGAAGACAAGCAGGGACCTGGGCATCCTGCCTTCAGTGGTCAGGTGCTCCTTCCTGCCCTCCCTTCCTGTGTGGAAGGCCAGTCACACTGCTGGGCACACGTGGCTCCCATCTGGAAACCACCTCTCATCCTTCTAGAGGGTTCCCTGTCCTTGGGCTGGAGGGAGGCAGGGATGGTGCTGGGGGCTGTGGAGTGCCTGGTTCTCCCATGAAACCGGTCCCACTCCTTCCCTCCTGAAGGAGGGTGCCTGATGCTTAGGACAGCTTTCGCCTTCTCTCAGGTCTCTGCATTTGTGTACGTGCGTGCGAGAGTGCATGTGTGTATGTATATATGGCTTGGCATGTTCTTTAAGTTGCTTCCTGTTGCATAGTTGGGGGACTTTCTATACCCTCTACACTTCTATGTAGTGGAAGCTTTTTGTTACAGCGCTCCGTTCCCGCCATGGTAAAACAAGCAGGACAGCAGGGTTCCACAGGCACATCGGTTCACCAAGCCGTATTTACTGGCTGTTAGATTGTCATGTGTTGGTTCTCAGCAGGGCCCCAGGAACATAAACCAAGTCTGTGCCCTCAGCCTGCTTCCTATCTGGTAGGGAGTCACATGATGAAAACCACCGTGCGACCCTCTGATAAGTGTACACTTGGGGAGGAGGGAGTGCTTGGAGTTGCCTCAAGTGGAGGGAAAAGGCTGGAGGTAAATCCCACATAGGCCTGGAGCACAGGTCTCCACGTCAGCCCACACCCTCCTCAGGGGTCCTTATGGGGCTTCTGAGCACCTTGAATACCTTGAAATTAGGCACCAAATTCCAGTGTACATCCCAGAAGCGTTTGTGGAACTAATCCTTCTGCTTTCAGCTGTTCTGGAGGTAGATCTGGGACCCAGAAAGATTAACAGCCATGGGCAAAGTGGGAAAAGAAGAGGGCGAAGGCTGAACGTTAGGAAAGCAGTAGGAACGGAGGATAGAGGTGAGAACAAGGACAAAAAGCCCTCCGAAGGGCAGCAGAGGAGAGGCTGAACCCTGTCACTGCTGGTAAGGAGAAGGAGCATCAGTGTGGCAGAGTGACCCAGAGCTCTGAGGGACTGCCTCCCTGCCTGTGTAAATGAGAGATGATACCAGTGCCTTTACTTGGGTGTGGTCATGAATGCCTGTAATGCCAGCCTTCTGGGAGGCTGAGGCAGGAGGATCTAGAGTTCAAACCCATCCTCAGCAATTTAGCAAGTTAGTAAGATCCTGTTTCAAAAATAAAAAAGAGGTGGGGTATAGCTCATTGTGACGCCCTGGGTTCAATTCCAATATCACAAGAAGAAAAAGAAACCTATTTTATGGCATTGTGATAAAGACTACAACACATAATACTAAGATAACAGTTTATAATGGATGGTGTGTTTGATTACAATCATTATTAGATGCCATGAAAGTCAGGAGAAGGAGGCCCAAGGAGACCCTTAGCTTGACACGAGGAAGTCATCTTCGACTTGAGAAAGAGGGGGCCTGGCCAGTTTCCGCAGGGAATCCAGACTGCAGTGATCTGCAGGTGGGTGGCAGGGCAGAGAGCCTGGCATCCTCCCAGACTGAAAGGAAGGAGAGACAGAGTAGCGACTAAGGAGGAGCGGGTGTCCTAAAGTCAGCAAGCTTGAACATCGTGTGTGCTGAAAGGGCTCTGCTTCAGGACAGATACCGAAAAGAGCCATGTCTCTGTACTTTCAGGAAGGTGTCAGAGAAGTGGCTAAAAAGGAAAAACCACCTGTAGACACAGCTGAGAAATGCAGTACTGCGTGCACCTGTAGGTAGGGGTGTAGCCGAGCGCAGAGCAGAGAGGCCAGGAGCCTGAGTGCGATGCTATATTTATGGCATCTGGGGAGCAAGGACATCTCATTGGGTGGAATTTCAAGCTTGACTAGAGGAGTCAACTTGGAGCAGCCACTGTGAGAATGGGACAGGGAAGTGAGAAGTGGCCACCCTGGCCAGGAGACTTTGGAAGTCACTGGGTGGTTCATATTGCAGCCCAAGGCGCTTCTCCCAGGTGGTGTCTGGCAGGCTGGGGAGGCCAGAGGAGTAAGTGCATGATGGCCTAGAAGCAGGAGGACAGAGGGGTGAGTGAAGCTGCTGGTGACTCCTCCCTCCACTCGGAAGTCTCCCGTTATCCCTGGGAAACAGACATCTGTGGTGTCGCCCCCCAGCTAGGCATCCTTACCTAAGACACAGCAGAGCAACAGTGCCTGGAGACTCAGTGCCTGGGTGTGAACGGGATGCGGGTCTGCGTGGCAAGAGGGCAGCGAGAGGCCCGCAGAGCCCCTGGGAAGCCTGACCCCGGTGACTGGACGCGCTGCTGAGCTCTTAGCCCGCTGCTGCAGGGCTAACTGTGGCTGCTCCCCCAGCCACAAGGACTCGGAGCAAAACTCCTAAGAATGTCCTGAGGAGTTAAAAGGTAGAAATGGCTTTCTTTTTCTTTTTTCTTTTTGGTGGTCCTGAGATTCGGCGCAGGGCCTCACCTGCTAGGCCAGCGCCCTCCCACAGAGCTGCATCTGCAGCCTGGAAGCAGCTTTTAGAAGAGATGCATCTCTCACAGGACCAGTTCCCTGGTTCTACCCTTCGAGGTGCCTCTTCAGTTTCCTCTCCCACCAAGAATATCTCAGCATTTTACCTACTGTCAGGTTCCTTACACCATCAAACACAAGGCTAAAACAATACTTGATCAATATAAATACTCAAGTATGGGTTAATCAGTTACTATTTTTCAAAGTTCTGCTGTTTGGTTGAGCCTGGACTGTTGAGGAGTTTTTTGTTTTTGTTTTGCTGGTTTTTTGTACAATGCTCAGGATTCTTCTCTACTATTTTAATAGCTTTTGCTGGCTCCATTCCATTTCATGTTTTGTTTTGTTTTATTTGTGGTACTGGAGATCGAACTCGGGACCTGCACAGTGACCTATCTCCCCAGCTCTTTTTATTTGTTTTGTTTTGTTTTGAGACAGGGTCTCTCTGAGTTGCTAAGTTGCCCACCTCTGTCTCCTAGAGTATCAACAGTAATTAGGTTGGTTGTGTTTGATGTCAGCAGACATTTCCCCCTCCTCCCTCTGTCCTTCACTGTCATATTTAAGTCCTCTTAGTTCATAGTTACCACCTCCAGGTGCTGCATGACTGTGAATGTCTGTAACTGCAGCATCTTTAGATGACACTCCTCTTCTGACCAAGCTTGAGGATGTTCCTGCCTCAGTGAGGCCACGGGTTCTATGGCAGCCGTGAGGAAGGAAGGAAGCTGTGGGTCACAGCTCCAGCCTAGTAAGTCACAGCTTGTCACTGAGGCTCCCTTTGTGGATGCAAAGGGAACATAAGAAATTAGCTCCCGTGGTCCCTGCACTCAGAGCTTGAGCTCAACTCTGCTCTTCCCACAGGAGGATTTCTCTTTTTCCTTTGTAGTTTGCCTCGTTTTTCACTTTTTTTTCCACTAAAAAGCAAAAGATTCCTTTTTTAATGTCTTCCCACCTTGTAAAATCAATAGAAAACAAAAGAGAAAAAAAAAAAAACAAAATAAGAAAGAATAAAATCAATTAAAATAAACCAGAGTAAGTGATACAAGACTTCCAAACCTTTTGAAATCAACAATAGCTGCCACAGTGGCTTTGTTGTCTTCAAAATAGCTGCAGATACCTTCAGACATATTAACAATCAAACAGAGCAGGACAGAATACAAACAATAAAAACAAAACAAGGAATGCAATAAAGAACCTCAAAACAAGCCAGTGGTAAATACAGGATGGCTTCCATAACATGTTTTGCTTTCTTTCAAATAGCTGCTCCTGCCATCAGAATTAAACAAAACAACAGAGAATAAACCTCAACCCAAAAGAAAAAACAATGAAAATGATACGTTTTTGGCGGGGGGAGGGGGAATGTCCTCCCTGTAGGTGTCTTGGTCTTTTCCTCCACAGTCTGTGGAGAGGCTTGGGTCTAGCTCTCAAAAACATTTTTTTTTTTTATTTATTTAAAGAAAAGGAAACGAAAAAAAAATACATGGAGATTTAAAAAAAAGGGCAGAAATAATTCTAAATTACAGACAAACAAAAGGTAAGAAATTGCCAGTTGATAAGTTACAAATTGTCATCTTCGAAATGGCTGTTCAGGTTATAGAATTAAAGTATATAGAATGACATTCAAAAAAAAATGACCCTACAAACCATTCTGCTCTATGGCCGAACAAAAGCTCCGTAATATGATTATCAGTCCCACCTATTTGTTTTACATCTCTAAGAGGATAAGGTTAACCATATCAAAACAGAACAGAACATTTAAAAAAAAATAAAAAACAATTTAAAGAAATACAGATTTCAAAGCAAGTCCACTGGAGATCTACCTTATCTAACTGTCTCTAGCTTCTTACAAATAGTTGTCCCTAACTTCACCCACTTTCTATACTTATTGCATATTATAGAACTAATCAAATCATTACAGGATGATGGAGTCTTTTTAGGTCCTCAAGTTCCAAATTAGGGAAGACAATACCAACTACCATCGCATCTCTCATTCTCTTTGTGATAGCCGTCCCCATCTCTGCATATGCTGAAGTTGAGCTGAAGAAGCCAGTCCAGAGTCATTTTAATCAGCAAGCAATAGATTGCTAGAATTTATATTATAATGCTACAAAATAAGCCTCGGGTTTTTCAGGTCTCTTCCTCAGAGTATTTGTTCCTATCCTCTCTGTATTATAGGGAAAACCAAGTCATAACAAGACAACGAAACAATTTCCTAGATAAACATGCAATGGATAGGACTTATAAAACTATAATATAAATGATCTTCCATAGCTACTATGTTTTCTCTTGTTATTTTCAATAGATTTGTCGACAACACTGGCTTATTATAGTTAAACATACTATCACCTATTTTTATAAAAACTTATCTTTGACTGCATTGTAGTATTTGAGAGCTGTTACTGATTCATACCAGTATGGATATCCTTTACATCTTGTCATGCTCAGAGTAGTTTCCTCTACTTTTAGGGTTGATTCTAACATGCATACCGATTTCAAATAGGATCAGTCAAGGCCAACCAATAGTCTTATGATTCAGATACAATTAAGATCAGTCATAGTAAGACAATGTAAGTAATACAGAATTTCAGCCTAAGTCAATAGGAAAGTAAGGATAGTTGCCGTGGTATAACCTGCTATTTTTGGTTCTAGAGGTCTGTGTCCTCAAATCTGATATGAGTGGACAGACCAGAACAAATTTAATTCAATCTAAATATGTCACTAGGACTACTGTCTTTTAAATCGTTATACACCATTAGCAATGACCTCTGCTTTTTTTTTTTTTAAATATAGTTTCAGAGCTGTCTCTACTAAAGACTAGCTTACCGTCTCTGCCTCATGTCTGCTACTCCACTTTTCTGCTATAATTTGTCCACCTTATTCCCTCATTCCATGGTCTGCCCCGTTCACTGAGGCTTCTCTGCCACTGTAGCTGTAATCCTGATATCTCTTCCTCTCTTTCTCTGTAATGTCCTTCAGCGCTCTCTGTAGGGTTGGATTGGTGGCCACGAACTCCCACAGTTCCTCCTTGTCTTGAAAGTATCTTATTTCTTCATTAATTTTTAGAGAGAGTTTTGATGGATATATGAACTTAGGTTGCATATTTTTTTCCTTCAGGACTTGGAATATTTCTCCCCACTCCCTTCTTGACTTAAGAGTTTGTGTTGATAAGTCTGCTGTTATTTTGATAGATTTCCCGTTATAGGTAACCTGCATCCTTTCTCTGGCTGCTTTTAATATTCTGTTTTTTTGGTGGATTTCTGGGATCTCGATTATTATATGCCTAGGCATAGATCTGTTTTGGTTGTAGGTAGCTGGCGTTCTGTATGCTTCTTTTATCTGGATATCATTTCTTTTTGCTATACGTGGGAAATTTTGCTTTAATATCTCTGTGAATATTTTTTGTATTTCATTTTTGGATGTTCCTGCTTCCTCACTCACATTCTTTATCCTTAGGTTATGTATCTTTTTATCATCTTCCAGTTTTAGAATTGCTTCTTTCTGGTTCCTTGTTATTTTTAAGAGGCTTTTTCTTTCACGTTCATAAGCCCTAAATCTCTCTTCAAGTTTCAGAAGGTTGTCTTTAGTTTCTGTCAAGGCATTTTGCCAATATTCAATGGAGTTCTGAGTTTCCTGATATTCTCTTTGGATCTGTTTCATGTATTCTAAGTTATGCTTAAATTCTTCTTCAGATGCTTCTCTTTCTTTTCTGATTTCCTCAGTTCTTCCATCTGTGTTCTCTTGGGCGGGGCTTGTCATTTCTTTAATTAATCTCTTTATATCTTGCCTCACTTGGATCAGGAGTACATCTTTAAATTCCTCTATGAGATCATGTAAGTACTTTTTAATTTCGGCTGATGCTGTGTCGAGTAGAGGATGGTTACTGTGCTTGTTCTCTTCAGTGTTTAGTTCTCTTGGGTTTAATTTCTCCTGTTGAACAGCTGGAGGTTTTTTTTATTTTTATCTCTTGTCATGTTTCTGGTTTCTTTCAGACTGTCCTGGAGTTCTCTGGCCCTCTCCGAATTGCTTAGGGCCTTTCAGAAGCGTGCTGGCTTGAGTTTTTGCTGTCCTCCCCAATTTGCTGTTATCTGGGGTAGGCTGGGATGTAGGGGCGGTACAGTCTAGTCTCTAGCCTCTGTGTCAGTTAGTTCATAAATTAGGCTGTACTTTCTGGTTGTCACTGAGTTGTGACTATTTTGTATCTGCTTATTGGGCCCCAAGCAGAGGCTTGGTTTAGCCCCAGTAGCTCCTGCCAGTTCTCTTTGAATCAGAAGCAGCTGAGTAATGGCACAGGATTCTGCCCAGGTCCCAGCCGTTCTCTTCCAAACCTCTCTGTGATAGGTGCACCAGAAAAGCAGATCTGCCCAAAACAAAGATGGCTCCCACTAAGTTCTCTGTGGAGCTGAAGCCAACAAGTAATCAGGCTCTGCCAGGACTCAAGATGTCTTCCACCAGCCCTCCCTACAGGGGGATCTGGTGATATCACCAAGCTGCGATTTCTGCCGCCAGGCTAATATGTCTGCACCAGACTCTGTGTTATTGATTTCCCCGTGGTGGCGGGCCAGCTGTTCTCTGGCCAAACCCAGCAGTGGCGGGGTTTTCTGTACTCACCAGAGTCCGGTGCAAGTCCTCGTTCCGGGACCGCCGCACACCAAGCTGTCCACTTTTCCCCCACTCGCGGCTCAGCGCTGACCGGTCAGATTTCTGTGCACCGTTTAGATTTGAATCGCCAGAGCTTTGTACATCCGCGCTGGTGCAGCGGTGCAGAACTGGCTGCTACTTGGAGTCTCGATCTGGGTCTCAGTTTCCCGCGGTCTCCAAAAGCAACTCAGCTTTTCGTGCTGGGTCCACGAGTCTGTTTGTTGATTTAAGGGCGCGGGATTTGTAGCCTCCGGTCTCAGCACGACTTTAAATCCTCCAGTTGTACTGTCTTGGTTAATAAGAATCGCTATCGATTTGTCTGGTCTTCTCCATGCTGTCTTTTTTTATCTTTGAGTTTGAATTCTCTGGAGAGATTCTTCGCTCGATCCCCTAGCTCGCCGCCATTTTCCTACCCCCCTCAAAAACATTTTAATGGGGGCTGGGGATTTAGTTCAGCGGCATAAGTGCCTGCCTTGAAGCAGGCAGTTGTGAGTTCGATCCCCGGTACCTATAAAAAGGAAAAAGACAAAAAAAAAAAAAAAAAAAAAAAAAAAACATTTTAACGGGAGAACTGCTGCTTTGAACTTACTAGGTAGCCCAGGATGGCCTGGAACTCAAGGTGATTGTTCTGCCTCAGCCTCCCAAATGCTGGGATTACAGGCATGAGCCACAATGCCTGCTCAAACTTGTGATCCTCTTGCCTCAGCCTCTCTAATAGCTGAGATTGAGATTAAAGGCTTGTGCCATCATGTCCAGCTTAGTGTGGCTATTTTTTTTTTAAGTTTTATTAAGATATGTTTATAATACATAATGCTGTGGTCTTGATGTACAAAAATTCTTTCTCCTACTCTTGAGTAGGCAGCATAAAATGTGTGCCAGAAAACATTTTCCAAGTTCTTTGATCAGGTAGTCACAGTTAACAACAGTAGCAAATGAAGTGGGCAGAAAAAGGCAATTTAAAATAACTTTGAGTGGTGGCCAGTGCACTCACTAAATGAGAACAGAGCATTTTCCTGTATCTTTTCTGATTTTATCAGCACTAAATTAATAACCTTGTATTTGGGGAGGGTTGTTTTGTTTTGCTTTGTTCTGCTTTGTTTTGACACAGGGTCTTACTTTGTAGTCCAGGCTGGCCTCAGACTCGCAATGATCCTCGTGACTCAGCCTCTCAAATGCTGAGATTACAGGCATGCACCATCACACCCAGTGAATAACCCTCTATCTTTTTTTTGTACCAGAGATTGAACTCATCCTTGTCAGGCAGGCGCTTACACCACTGAGCTAAATCCCTGGCTTTCTGTCTTTTTAATATTTGCACTTTATAATGATTTTCTTTGATGGTGATGGTACTGTGAGATGAACCCAGGGCCTTCACACTCACCTGCATCCTGAGACACCTCACCCCCTCCCACCTTGTATTTTAGTTTTTTGGGTTTTTGGATTTTTGGGGTTTTTTTGTTTTTGTTTTTGCTTTTGTTTTTTTTTTGTTTTGTTTTGTTTTGTTTTGTTTTTTTTTTTGGAGACAGAGGCTTGCTAAGTCACTAAATTGCCAGGTGTGCTTGAAATTGCAATCCACCAGCCTCAGCTTCCCACAGTACTGGGATTACAGCCAAAGACCAACCACGCCCAGTGGTAATGCTTTTACTACTTTTTGATTTTATTGTGATTTTTGGAGTTATTAAATATTTTTAATTTGCAAAAAAATCACAGTAAGACCTCTGAATTACAGTCGTTTATAACAGATCACTGTAGAACAGTCTTGAGATTGAGATTAATAAAGTATTAGCTAACTAGGAAAACCAGCATTAATGTGGACAATGCAATCCTTCTGCGTTTCTAAACCTCAAGGGACCTGTCAGTATTTTATCTTTTTGCAGGTTGGACCAGGTGGTGATTCATGTAGGGGCACTGAGCTTGAAGGAGTCACAAGAACTGGTACGTGTGCAGATCCACACGGGAGAGGCCACGGAGATCCTCCACTCTTAGCTGACATTAGTGTTAGTACCGGAATTGTCATGTGCGATGCTCTGCCAGAGGAGGAGAGGTGTGGGGCTCCAGGAAGCCACCATCTAGTAGCAGGCCTTGAGCCATAGAAAGACCGGGACCCATGGGGATGCCACAGTGGAACGGGAGACCATGGGACTTTCCTCCAGAGGAAGGAAGGTAGATGTGAGTGTAACTAAATTTGCAGGCTGAGAGCAAAGCCTGATCCAACTTCCGTTTTCTCTGGGAAGCGGAAGGCCATCTGCTGGACATACAGGAGGAAAAGGGAGGTCAAAGAAGGGTGGTAACTGGCGTGCTATTTTGGAGAACGGGGAGAAATCTACAACCCAGGAGGACTGTCCGGGGTGATGGAAATGCACCAATTGCCAGTGGTAAATCTGTGCTACCAACCATTCACAGAGCTGTGCAAGTTTATCCCCAGGACATTCTTCAGCTAGAAGACAGGGACAAGAATGCAGATATGGATTGCTGTGGGTTCAGGGATTAACAAGTTAGGATAAAAGACAAGAGTTTGGTGCCCTTAGGCAAACCACAAGGAAAGACACATTACTAGAGTGGATAAGGCTGGAATCAGAACTGAGAGCCTTTGTTTCCTCTTTCAACTACAGTCTATGGAGTAGAGAGGCTTTTTTCTCTTTTCAATTGATTTCTGATGTGTGCTAAGCACTTTAAAATACTGTTCCATCAAGATGTAAAGATCATGTCATCCACTGGGTTGACTGCTAGACAGTACAGAGGTCATCTTGGAGCTAATCCTTTAGTGTAAGAATAACCTGGAATCAGGACAGAAGGAAGCGATAATACAGTTGTCCACTGATGTACAGCTGTCCCCTAGATGACCCTTGAATAGGCACTGTGTTTACCCTCTCGTGGGTATTTTTTTTCTCTTCCTTTCAGCTAATGTTATTCTACTCTTTTCCTAAATGGAATACTAAACAAGTAATTTCAATACATCCCATTTAGTCGGATGTGGTGGCACATGCCTATAATCCCAGCATTCCAGAGGCTGAGTCAGGTTCACCGCAAGTTTAAGGCCAGCTCAGGCTATACAGTGAGTTCAAGAGCAACCTGGACTATATAACAAGACCCTGTCTCAGACAAACAAACACATTTTGATTCTGTGTTACTGAAAGTATAACCAATGTTCTGTTTGGTTTTTGAGTGTTTCTTTGTTTTTTTGTTTTGTTTTTTGAGACAGGGTCTCACTATGCAGTTCAGGCTGACTCACTAGACCTTGAACTGGCAGTGATCATCCTGTCTCAGACTCCTGAGTGCTGACTGAGATTACAGGCTGGTGCCACCACACCTGGCTCTAACTTACTCCTACAGAGAATTAATCATCTCTATTAGATACAGACATTACAAGTTAACATTTCACCAAGAAGCCCTTTTCCCCTCGGTAGTGAAACACCTTCAGAAGCAATCAACAAGTATCTGCCAAGGCCCTGTTATGTGCCCAGCTCTGTGACTGACCTGCACACAACGGTAAAGAAGATCTGAGTCCTGCCCTCAAGGAATGCACACTCTAGTTGGAGGACAGTCACCACATGCAGCTCTCCCGCAGTGTGGTATAGGTTTAGGTGCTCTACTTGAGGTAGATTAAAAATGGGTGCACAGGGAAATGTTAATTTTTTTCTAGGAGAATTTTAGAAAACAGCAGAAGCATGTTATAATATAACTCTTGTTATGAGTATAATCTTAACTTTTCTCAGCTGCCTTCCCAATGTGCCACTAGATGGAAAGATAATATCACTCAGTAGGCTGACCAGTAGAAGAGAAATTACACCTGCAAGATCCTGTACTCACAGCTATAATTTAAATGGAACACATGTTTCCTTAGCCAGGTTTTTTTGCACTGACAGAATCTACAGAAGTATTGATTAAGTGCATGGCTTTTCTCCACTAAGGATCTCTATTTTGCAACCTGTGATTTTCCTGGCTATATCTTCATTAATTTGGCCAATGTTTTCACTCTAATGGAACTCTGCTATCTAAGCTGCAGATGACTGTAATAAATCACATTCTTCTTGTGCAGGCCCAGCATGCAGCGGACATAGGAGCTGACGGCATTGCTGTCATTGCACCTTTCTTTTTCAAGCCGTGGAACAAAGGTAAATAGGTGGGTCTGAATGCACCGTGCCTCACCGTGTTGGCTTCTTGCTTCCATTCAGAGTGGTTATATTTAATACATGAAATCATACAGGCCGAAGTTGCAATGGTAGATAGTGGTTGTCTAAAATACTTGCTCACCCTGGATGCACAAATGCATTGCTTTAAAGCACCTCAAGTCTTTTGCCAGTAATCTGATTGGTTCATCCACTGAGCCCAGTTGGCGGGTGCCTATCTGGTCAATTACATGTGTATCAGAATCACATGCCAAAGCATGGAACTATTTTTCTCAAAAAAAGGGAGGACAAGAGAATGGCATTTTGAAACTATATGTCCTATTGAGAGTTGATGAACAATGATAAATTTGAAAAGAGATTTAACAGAAATGTCCTTTGTCTTCCAAAACATCAGAACTTTCTTCTCTACCTCCTTCTTCATTCTTGGAAACTATTTATATATCTAAGTCTCGGTTGATTTTTTGATCCTTATTGATTAGTAATAAAAGAAATGCAAAGTTTAAAAGGATAAAACCAGATGTTATTTGTATATATGATTAAATCCATGGGTAAAAGTATAATAGTTCAAAATCATCATGAAATATTACCTCTTATTAGATACAAAGTTCTTAATGTTGATAAGTAATTTAAATATTGCTTGAGATTTTGTTTTGCTTTGTTTTGTTTTTTTGAAACAGGGTCTTACTACATAGTCCATGCTGACTTGAACTCACTATGTGCCCCCCCACTTGCCTCAAACTCATGGTGATCCTCCTGCCTCAGCCTCCTGAGTGCTGGGATTACAGGTGTGAACCACCACACCCAGTCTAATTTAAGAAGTTAGAATGAACATTTTAAAAGTTTTTTCACATGACTTTATACATTCTTATAGAGCAGAACTTCTAAAAAGCAAAATAATGAATTATACATAATAATTTTATCTGAAATATGTATCAGAGACTTAAGTCATCACAGTATTAAGAGAAAGTCCATAAAATTCTCTTTCCTACAGTCACATCTACAGTATAAGCAGTTCTTTGTCATCTGCAGTAATTCACAGTGGGAGCTCACCTGAGAGTGCAGGGAGCGCTCTTCCTCAGTAAAGAGCATGCTCTGATCTGTTTGCATCTGTCCTCCAGGTGAAAACCATCGAACTCTGGTTGAATCTGTATAAAAGGTGCCACCAGTCTTATAACTTCTTTCTTGAAGCAGATGTTGTTTACACTTTCATTATCATTCTCTCAGTAACAACTGTAGTGTTTTGATTCTTGGGCATAATCTCTGCCACACGCGTTAAGAGCACAGGAGTCCTACCTGACTAGTTTCAGGTTTTTACAAGAGCATCAAATGATTGTCTCCTACGATAGAGGGAAGTTTGCACCAGTGTTTTTTACTGTTTTGGAGGAGCACAGTTGGCTAAATACTGGATCCAGGACCTTGGCTATGTTAAGTATGTGCTCTACCAATGAGCTACACCCTCAGCCTTGATTTTTTTAATGGTAGTTTAGTATGAGAGGGGAAAAAAATCATCATATTTTGGCCTTTCCACAGAACAAAAAAAATGAAATGGTTGAAAAGACATTGCAGTAGCGATATCAACTTCCAGGGTAGATGGCTGCATTTCATCAGATAGTTCACTTTTTATGACGGAAAGCCACTGTTTCCCACTTGTTTACGCCGTGACGTGTCCTCCTGTTCTTTCAGACGTCCTGATTAACTTTCTAAGGGAAGTGGCGGCGGCTGCTCCTTCGTTGCCCTTTTATTACTATCACATTCCTGCCCTAACAGGGGTAAAGAGTAAGTACTGCTTCTCTTCATATTTCCTCCTGACTCTGTATCTCACCGTCTTTCACTAAAAGTCCTCCACTCCATCCACCCTGTCCCTCAAACACACAGTACCACTGAGGAGATAGTTCAGTTTCGCAAGATATGCCGTCGCCCTCTCCCAGCCCTCATCAGCCATTTACATCTCCTTGCAGTGCAAGGTGACCTCCAGGCACTGAGAGCGCACACTGTCACTCCACCACATAGGCCTCCGATTCTCATGAGAAGACACAAGATCAAAGCCCAGCAAGGGCCGGACATTGTCTACCTTGTACCTGCTGTATTCTCAGCCCACAGGAAGATACCCTGATCTTTGCTGACTTTCTTCTAGCTTCTTTTTAGTATTGCTATACTTCTCCAATGAGATGACTTTTTTATAATTAGATGAAATTTATTAGATTATTTTTTAAAACCCATTATTTGCTACCTCCTACAAAAAAAAATTGGAGACTGTGCTTTGTCAGTATTCTTATTTACTCTCACACGTTCAACACTAAATACTTCACCTCTGGTCACCAAAATGAGATACTCAGTGTGGGAATTTCACCCCACCAACAACCACTTCTGCACTGGACACTAATGGAGCATCCAGTAACTCAGTTTCATTCTGACACTGTCTAATTCAAGATAGCATCTGATCCCGCAGGTCGACGGCTGAGTCCCAGGAGATTGTCCCCACTTCAGACCCTGCTTATGATCTGTGCTTCTGATGAACTGGCAGTAAGTCAGTTTTCCCATCACCCTCCTCAGGTTTGATTGATTTAGTAGCTCACAGAACTCAGGGAAATGTTGTACCTACATTGTCTATGTGCTACAAAGGATAAGGATACAGATGAGGAGATGCATAGGGAAAGACGTGGAAAGGGGTAGGGCCTTCCCACTTCTTCCCTGAGTTTAACCACTCTTCAGGAGTCTCCAAGTGTTCAGCAACCTAGAAATTGCCTAAACCCTGTCCTGTGGGGTTTATGAAAGCTTTATTAATTAGGCATGATTGATTACATTGGCTAGTGATGATCAGTTCAATCTTCAGACCTCTCCTCTCCCAAGATACTGGAGGATGGAACTAAAAGTCCCAACCCTCTATCACATGATTAGTTCCTGACATCCAAAATGTCCAGGAGCCCACCAGACGTCACAAAACATTTCTGTTGGGTCAGGTGTGGTACTATATACCTGTAACCTCCATAAGTGCTAGGCCAGCCTGCCCCACAAAGTGAGACCTTATTTATAAATAACAAGAAAAAAAAAACTAAAATGCTGCCTAGAAAGTGTGAGGTACTGAGTTCAACTCCCAATACCCCCCATATATATATATATATATATATATATATATATATGTATAATCAAGATGCTTCTGTCACCCAACACATTCCTCAGGCTTTAGAAATCATCAGATGTACCTATCACTCAAGAAATTCCAAAGGTCTTAGAAACACCACTTCCTAAACCAGAGTCAAAAACCAAATATCACAGTGGTGACAAACCCACATCACAGGTCCCCTGCAGGCTGCTTGTTATCACTGATAATTCTAAAAGGTTCACCATCACTAAAATATCAAAACAAAAGATCCTCCTGACTCTTACACATGCAAGGAATTTGGGAACACTTTCACAGGAGTTGGGGGTAGAGATCAAGTATATATATACCCACTATCATTGTATCTAGCTGGTATCCTCAAGGAAGGGAAATTTTAGGATTGTAACTTAAGGGGTACACAGGATCCGCTGGGCAGGGGCAAGCAATTGCGCCATCTGCTGCCATCTCTGGCTAACAACAGGTGGAGTGGCTCTGTGCTGACGGGACCCTACCAGATCTTATTTGATGTTCTCTGTTGCTGGATAGATTAGAGGGGCATTTTCTGTTTTGAACAGTTCGTGCTGAGGAGTTGTTGGATGGCATTCAGGATAAGATCCCTACCTTCCAAGGTCTGAAATTCAGTGACACCGACCTCCTAGACTTCGGGCAGTGTGTGGATCAGAATCACCAGCGACAGTTTGCTTTGCTCTTTGGGGTGGACGAGGTAAGTCATGCTTGGGTGTATCGCAGCAGGGCAGGTTCTCTCCAAAGCAATTCGTGTTTATATGTGTTAGGTCTGAAAAGAAGGGGGAAGAGGATGGGAAGAGGGAGAGGAAGAGGTCCGTGGAAGGAGTGGAGTGGATGGCCGTGAAAGTAGTGGGCGGTTGTGGCTGCAAAGATAAGAAATATAAAATATAAGTAACCTTTATTTCGGGAATGTGGGGAGAGACCCCCCCGCCCCGGCCCCGGGGCGCAGCATCTCCATTGCACCCGGGGCCGTGGTTATTCTGGGAACACAGGGAGAGGAGACTGGCGCACTGGCCGCTGGAATCTGGCGATCTCTCTCTCTCGGACACGTGGCGTGGGGGAATCTAAATAGCCTAAGCTTAGGGCAGTGCCCTAAGGCCATTAGAGATGCACAGGTATTTCATTGGCACATGTTTAGCGCCAGAGACAGGTTCCTAGAGATGGGGGTATAGGGTTACAGGTAAATCTATAGGGGGCGGGGGAGGCAGGAGTCCCCTAACTTGGCTGCAGCTTTTCCTGGTTAAAGTGTCCGGTCTGGGCCAGCAACTCTTTCAATATGGTCGCTGTTTATGTGGCTGCATCTCTTTACTTTCGTTTTTTCAATAAAGCGAATGTACTCTCTCTGTGTCTCATTAGCAACTGCTGAGCGGCCTGGTGATGGGGGCAACGGGAGCAGTGGGCAGGTAAGCATGGCCTGTTTCCCCAGCTGTTATAAACTCCCTGCTTCTCCTAGAGGCACGCTCCTCCAGCATGGTTACCTTCTTGGGTGTCCATCCTTTCCAGTAGAAGTTGCCGTTGGTTCCATACTTGTTTAGTGGAATGGAATTAAGTGGGGCTTGGCTGTGTGTCAGAAACCCAGGCATCTGACATGGTGCACCAGTCATTGTAGTTACAGGTGAGACTTGAGCAGAGACACACACAGGGCCTGGAACTTACTGGAATCAACCTGAGTTCTATGGACCTTGGTGACCAGCGTCTCAGGGATAGTCACACACTGTCCATGCCAGAAATTTGATTACAAAAACACTGTCTGGGTATAGTGACACATACCTATGGTCCCACCGCTTGAACGGCTGACACAGGAAGGTCACTATGAGTTTCCTGCAGGTTTGGGGCCAGCCTGAGCTACAATAGTGAGATCGTATCTTTAAAAAAAAGTTGATTATGGATAACAAAAATCCACTCAAACTAGATCATGTAGAAGAAGATAAATTTTGTTTTTAAAATATTGGGAAAGCACAGGCACAGTGGCACATGTCTGTAATCCCAGCACTCGGGAGGCTGAGGCAGGAGGATCATTACGAGTTTGAGACCAGCCTAAGCTACAAATTAAGCTCAAAGCCAGCCTGAACTGCATAGTGAGACTCTTTCAAAAAAAAAAAAAAAAAGGGCCAGGGATTTAACTCAATGGTGGAAGCGCCTACCCGGCAAGCACGAAGTAGTGCGTTCAGTCCCTGGTAAAAAAATATATATATCCTAATAAAATATTGGGAAATTAGCTGGACATAGTGGCACAGTCCTGTAATCCCACCTATTAGAATTCCATACTCTGTGTGAGTCTCGTTTGGACAATTTAGAGACTTAATGAAGCCTTGCCTCAACAACAACAAAATTTAAAAAGGGTTGGCAATGTAGGGTAATGTGAAGGTGCTATATTCAATCCTCATTACCAGAGAAAAAAGAAAGAAAATCCAAGCAGTAACTGTTTTATTTTAGTGCTGAGAATTAAACCCAAGGTCATCGCACTCATATCCTCTACCACTGAGCCACATGTCCAGGGCTTTTATTTTACTTTGAAATAGGTTTTGTTAAGTTTCCTGGGCTGACTTTGAACTTGCAATCCTCCTGCCTTGGCCTCCCTCACAGCTAGGACTGTAGGCATAGGCCACCATGCCTGTCCCTCGGCAGTCTTTTTTTTAGAAAAGTAGAAATTAGACACTTTCTAGGGGTTTGAGAACATGATTTATGTTAAGTCCCGGGGATATGATAAGCACTTACTAATGGTCCTTAATCTTGTTACTATATTACTACTCACATGGAAACCTTTAGGGGAGGCATTTAGATAATTCGCTGGCATCTTCCACTTTTACTGTGGTGCTCCCTGCACCCAGTTTCTCAGCACAGTGATTTAGTGATTTAGGACTTGACTCAGATGCTACATTTTATCCACAGTTCTCTCACACTACACTTCTGTGTATGCCCTGGGCCAACTGTTGGCCTCATTCAAATATGCCTCCCCATCAAATATGTCTCATCTTTTTTAAAACTCTTTTCCATTTTCCTCTTTTCTTATTCTTTTGGTATTATCTGCCTTCCCTGTTGCACTGTTTCATGTGACTGGAGCACTCAGAATTGAAGACAGCCTGATCCCCTCAAAATAAAAATATGGGATTCTTGGGTAATTGTTTGCCTTTTCAAACAACAAAAGTGTGAAGATCTTGACCTTCCTCATTGAGTTACTGAGCTTGCAACACTTGCTTTTGTCTTGCCAGTACTTATAACTACCTGGGAAAAAAGACAAACCAGTTATTGGAGGCCTTTGAACGGAAGGACTTCTCTTCAGCCCTGAGCTATCAGGTAAGCTTTTTCTTCCCTTCACATGAATCACATAAATCACAGCCGTTTTCCTCCCCTACTTGGAGATCCTTTATCCTCCTCCTTCTGCATTCCTGGCGCATCTGCTGCCCTTAATGTGGCCTCACTGCCTCCCTTGTTTTACCTTTTTTCTGTTTCTTACTTTTACTAGCTTAAAACTGAATCTGTTAGGGGCTGGAGATTTAGCTCAGCGGCATAAGCGCCTTCCTTGCAAGTGTGCGGTCTTAAGTTTGATCCCTGGTACCAATAAAAACAAAAAAGACAAAAAAAAAAAAAAAAACTGAATCTGTCCCCGTATGACTAATCAAGACAGGCCTCACATAGGAATGGGTCTTCTGTTCTTTCTGAAGAGGATCTTATTTTTACTCTATACTTTTTTAACTATAAAATAACAGTCACAAGTTTCTGGGGAAATGACCACATATGGCCATCACATTGAGAATGTCACACTTGAGTCATCAGAGAGCATGAGGAAGCTGTGAAATGAGAACCTAAAACTAGGAAAGCTTAATCCAAGGTCAGGGCAGATGCTCCTGTCCACCCTGGAAATGTGCTGAGCATGGCAGGCATCCCACCCTCAGGCCTGAGCCAGCAGGCCTCTACAGCTTCCTATGGTTAAATATTTATCTTTGTCCAGCCCCCGACCAAATGAAGCCACGAGCAGGAGCAGGATAGGAGGCTATATCAACTAAACTAATCATTGACTAGATTTTAAGTAAGAGTAACAGCCGTATATGATGGTGCCTGCTTATGACCCCAGGACTCTGGGAGGATGAAATAGGGAGATGGTAATTTTGAACCCAGATGGGAAATTTAATGAGACTCTGTCTCAAAATTTAAACAAACTTTTAAAAGAGAGTAGAGGGTGGGGTCGTAGTTCAATGAGAATGCCTTAGGTTCAATAACCGGTACTGCAAAAAAAGAGAAAATTCAGGGAGCAAGTCTAGATTGTGTAAGCGCTACCATCTGTTTGCAAGCATTGTTTGCTGTTCTTGTTTCCTTAGCTTTGTATGAGTCATTTCTGGAAGTCCCAACCTGCACCAAGATGAAGGACAGCATAGTCACAAACGGTGTAAACTGAAGTAGCTGTGGTGTGAGCCTCCCTTGTATGGCTCTTCCTCAGGCTGATTCCATTTCTGTCTTTTTCTCCCTTCTGTCCCTACTCAAATTATCTCATTCAAATAGTGTTGGTAAGGAATTCAGTTCACCACGTGCTCTGCCGTCTTGCAGAAGGCAAGTGTGACAGGGACTCATTTACTCATGTGCCAGGGGCCACCCTGGCATACGATCATTTACGCCAGGGGCAAAATTTCAGTAAAGCTGGTTACCACCTCCAAAGCATTCAGTCAGTGCAGGCAGACAGGTGAAAAGTTAGCTCAGCCCCATTTACTCTTGTGGATGTAAGTGCCATCTGTTACTTTTACAAGACTGAAATGACACGTGTACAAACATATTCCTTGCAGTTTGTGTTTATAACAGCAAAAGACAGAGACGGCCCAAATATCCATCTGTAAGCCAGTGGTTGAATACGTTATCCCCAAGTTATACCATGAAATTGTATGCAATTGCATGCAATTAAAAGAATGACATCTCTGTTCTGCTCTGGAAAGATTCACGTGATACAAAAAAGCAGCACGATATAGGATAGTAAATGTATTGCACTATACATGGTGGTGGGAGAGCGTGTATTTATAAGGTTTTTAATATTAAGATTATATTCTGGGGCTGGGGATTTAGCTCAGCGGCATAAGCATCTGCCTTATAAGCGTGCAGTCATGAGTTCAATCCCTGGTACCAAAAAAAAAAAAAAAAGATTATATTCTGTGTTGAATTTCACTTCAGGTAGACAGCTGGTTAAAACAGCACAAATATCTTATACATTTTGATAAATACTTTTCAACATAAAAGTAAAATGTTATTGTATCTCTTAAAGAGGTATCTGAGGTTCTTTTTATGTTTGTTCATGGATATATGGGTGATTTTAAATACCAGAATTAGTTAGGATTCAGCTGTGTTTTTAAAGAAATAAGTGCTGCAAAACCCTGTTCTTAGAAAATAGTACATTACAAATGGAAATAGTTTTGTTTACAGTGATGTCACTCAATTCTTTGAACAATTTTGTGTCATCTGCCAAAATTAGAATGCTCAGTTGTTGGGTAAGTTTGTGCTCCAGGCATCCTGGAAGGCAGACCAGCTGGAAGACACTGAGTTCAGCTCCCAGCCTCTTCCATTACCCCTCTCCCACCCTGGATTACAAGGCCAGTTGGAAGAGTGTAAGACCAATGGGAATCCAAGACCCCGGACCACAGTCCAGCGTGCAGACACACACATAACTTTGAAGGGTGAAGTAATCGGCTCGGCTAGTAACTGGAAGCCTGTGAAACAGGAGTGCAGAAACGCAGTTGGACTCTGGAGAACTTCACCAACAGATAGTCCCCACCCCCACATCCAGAGGCCAAGATCCGCTCCATACCCAGCACATCTCTGGGGTGTAACATGGACTCTATCATAGAACCATAAATGCCAGAAGGTAGGTTCTTGGGATAGCTATAAAGAATCAGCTACATCTGAAGGACATCCCTGAGGAATGGACACCTCCTTTCTTCCTTGAGAGAGGCCTCAGTGCTAGTGGTAGAGCTACATATCATGGGAGGTTTTGGGGCATCAACATAGAAGACAAAAAGAAAAAAAAGGTGGAGAATGGCAAGATGCAGAAGCAGGGTGCAACTCCAGACCCCCAGACCCCCAGCCCACCCAGGACAGGCATAAAACTCAATGAGATGCATGAAGTTAGAAGTCATATACTGAAAGCTTCGGAACAATAACAACAGAAGTGAAAAAACAAGTGGAAAATGCTATAGAGAAAATGATCTCACAGGTACAAAAAGAAACGATGCTTAAAATCAAAGATATTAGAGAAGACATAAATAAAAGCATAGATGAACTTAGAAAAAGATGGAAATAAAAAATGCTCAACACAGTAAAGAAGAGGAGTCTGTGAAACAGATCCAAACAGAGACCTAGGAGATGAAAACATCCATTGAAAGTATATGCAAGAGAATGAACAAAGGAAAGGATAGAATTTCAGATTTTGAAGACAGAATTGCAGCTAGTGATCATGGAAAGAAAGATATCTTAAAAATAGCAAGAGACCATGAGAAATCCATCCAACAACTACAAGATGAAAGAAAGAACGACACAAGATTGATTAGGGTCAGTGAGAAAATTGGAATCCGCACAAGTGCTATAATAGCAGTCATAAATATAGATGCACCTAATATAGAAGCGCCCAACTATATAAGACAGTTATTGATAGACATGGAAAATGAAATAAGTGGAGAACCAGCAGCAGCTCCTGAGATCCACACCATGTTGGAACTTAGGACACTGGGAAGCAAAGCAAGCACCTCCCCCACCTGGTAAGCCATGGTGGTCTGGCAGACTGCGGCCCCTCCAGGGGGAGAACCAGCAGCAGCTCCTGAGATCCACGCCACGTTGGAACTTAGGACGCTGTGAACCCAAACAACCAGCCTGTCTCCCTGCTAGGCAATAGTGAACCTACTGATGCACGGCCTAGAGTCAAAGATACCACTTCTCCTACCCACCTTCTCTCCCCCTCCACCACTACCCATTAGCAACCAGAAATCTGAGCGTCTCCTGGGAGGCTGACCATAGCAAATAAGGGGGACTTCCTTCTACCATCTCTTTGAAGGCAAATATTTTTATTACTGTTTTGCTCTTTTCTGATTAATGGTACTGCTCTATTCAATATTGTTTTGATAAGTTCTATAGTATTCTATATTTCATCTCAATTTGATATACGTGATGGAAAGAACAACTATTATAAAGATAAAATATACTGTGATACCTATTACTGTTATCCCGGTAACCTGCTGTGAAGTTCTGTACCAGTTTCACTGTACGATCTTAGTTGGCTTTATTCTGTCTTGTTCTGTTGTATACTTTCAAAATAAAATTTAAAAAAAAGAAAAGAAAAGAACAGTAACAGTTATAATAGGAGACATCAGCACCCCATTGTCACAGAGAGACAAATCAAGGAGACTGAAAATCAGCAAAGAAATACCAGAGCTGAACCAAATCTGTGAACAAATGGACTTAGTATGAAGAAGCCACACCCCGTGGCCCTGCCACCATCAGGGGAGCACTGGTGAACCACTACCCTGTGTCTGTCCACTATTCCAGGAACTCCAGATTGGAGGACCCCAGGTGCCTAGTCCAATCCACTATACCAAGGAACTGGCAGCCAATGCAGAAAACCCAGCATGCAGCAATGGACTGATTCAGAGGAACATAGGAAAATGTCAAGAGGAAGGAGCAAAATACAATCTCAGACCTCCAGCCCACACAGAACAATTTCAGGAGACACAGATATAGTAGAAATTAGAAGTCACACACCTGAAATTTCTGTAAAGATAATAAGTAAAGTCACTTAGCTCTTCTATTGTTTGGTTAGTCCTACATGCCTATGTCTGATGGTCTGGACAGCTATTTTAAGAGAGCAAGAAGCATAGTAGCCATTGTTAATTTTCTATGATCTTGTTTTGAAGTCCTGTATTATTGCTTTGTTTGGTTTGGTTTTATTATCTTTTGTTTTGTTTGATTTTTTTTCTTTTAATTGGTACCAGGGCTCAAACTCATGACTGCCTGCTTGCAAGGCAGGCACTTATGCCACTGAGCTAAATCCCCGGCCCCTGTTTTGTTTGATTTTATTATGTCTGACTGTATGGGCAACTATTCTGAAGATAAGAAGATGTATTATGGTAGCCATTATTGATTTCCTATTATCTTGTTTTGAAGCACTATGTCACTTTTATTGTTTTTGTTTTTGTTTTTACCAGAGATCGAACTCACGACCATGCGCTTACAAGGCAGGCGTTTATACTGCTGAGCTAAATCCCTGGCCCTATTGCTTTGTTTTGATGGGCCTTATTCTGTATTACTCTCTAAATTAAATTAAATGTAATTTAATTTTTAAAAAAAGAATGTTTGATTGTTAATGGTTTTCACCTGACAAACTGGGGCACAGTGTTGAAAGCAGAGGATCAAAAACTCTGATTTTCAAGAGTACTTGTCTATTAGTTAAGGAATCCTACATTCCTTATCAGTATCCACACTCTGTTCTGGTGTGTGTGGTTCCCTCACCCACCCCACCTTGTGTTGGGGATGGAACCCAGCCCCTCATGAATGCTAGGCAAGCGCTTTACCCTTGAGCTATACCCCACTTCTCAGCACTAACATTTTAATTAGTTCCTTTATTTGGTGCCCTAAGAGTATCCTAAGTCAGGGATAATAGCAATCTGCCTATTTTTTCAAAATCAGGACAAGACTTTGAAAGGGAAATAGAAAAGGACAAGTTGCACCTCCATTATGTTGATAAGCTTTAGAAAACAGCACTTGTGGAAGTTGATGTAGAAGTTGATTGTCATAAATTCTAAGCATTGGCCAAGTGCCTTTAAGTATCTTAGAAGGTACCCCCAGAAGCATGAGTGGTCCTATTTGAAAACTACTGCACTAGGACTCAGTTTACCTCGAGAGCTGGATGGGTAAGGGGTGCATTCCCACCTCCCTCACTGGGGTGGTCTGTCATTGCAGCTTTTTTCTCAGCATGGGCCAGTTCTGTAAAGCCTGTGTGTGAGGAAAGATCCTACCTTAGCAATCCATCCTAACCTGACTTCACCACACACACACACACACACACACACACACACACAGAGAGAGAGAGAAAATGTGATGTGTAGACTGTGCAGTTTCTATAATTTGACTTCTAAATTCCTTGAGTTCTTTTCACAGTTCAGCAATATTGACTCTAGATTTGTTTGTTTCTTTCAGTTTTGTATCCAGCGATTTATCAACTTTGTGATCAAACTAGGTAAGTGTCACATCTCTTCCAGCTCTGCCTGCAGCTGCCAAATGTCAAGGAAATAGAATTCCATCACTTTCCCCAAGAGTTTAACAAGAACACCTTCTATTCCTCTTTTGCAAGCAGGGTTTTGTTTCCAATACAAACCTTCAGGGCCAACCATATAAAATGGTGAGACAAACTCACACAGTAGTCTTTGTCAGTCTTCTAACAGCTTCTCTTGCGTTTTAGTATATTGTTATCACCACAGGCACACCCATTTTCTATTTTCTATTCTTTTACAGTATTAGCAATTCCTTCCTTCCCATTCCTCTGCACATTAAAATTCTACCGCTAAACCTGGAAGATGGCAATCTGAATACAATCTTACTCAACCAAATGACTGACAGCTCTCCCAAGAATATCTGAAAATTTAAAAAGAGTTCATTAGCACAAGTACACGTAAGTGGAAGGTTAGAGAATATACCAAAGTGAAATTGAGGGAAATACAGTGAATTTGAGCAGAAAAACCGCTCCAGAATCTTACTCCAGAACAAATGACTATTCATTCCACTTCTTCAAGAGATTGGCACTTGGGCCAGTTGGACACAGGTCAAGTCCAGCTAATGTTCAAGTGTACTCCTGGCAGACATCCCGCATCCTATGCAGCCTTTCAGCCGTGTCCTGGCAGCATCACCCTCTCTAAGCAGCCATTACACGCAGTGTCCCTGTTTCCCACAGGACTCTCAGCTCACCCTCTTCGTCTCTTCAGAGCAATGTTTCCATTTCCCCCCCTTTATCATTTTTGCCAGATTTCTGTGCCACACTTTCTGTTAATTATCTTTTATTATTTCCATGTCCTAAGCATACTTTTCCCAAGATCTTGGGTATGATGTAATAGTTATATGCTCCTAAAGTACATTAAAATAGATATGGGAATACTAAAATCTTGAAAGAACTAAAAGCTTGCCTCTGTACCACTTAAGTTAGCATTGCTTACCAGCAATAGTACTGCAACAGTTTTATAAAACACGCCTGGAAGATGTTATCTGAAACAATTCACTGTTGCTAGATCGCTTTTAGGTGTAGGGATAGGGCGGGAGGCATTGCTCAGTTTCTACTGTAATTAATTTAATAAAAGAAAGTTGCCAAGCATAGTGGTGCACACCTGTAATCCCAGCTGCTTTAGAAGCTAAGGCAGAAAGATTGCAAATTCAAAGATACCCTGGACAACTTAGTGAGACCCTATATCAAGATAAAGTTTTTAAAAATGATAAGGATATAATTCAGTGATAGAGTTTGCCTACCATGTGCAAAGCTCTGGGTCAGTCCTCAGAGAAAGAAAGGAAGGAAGTTAGGAAGTTAGTTCCTATTATTATCTGGAATTCAATAGCCAGCTTAAAAAAAAATAACAGTGATAGGTAATTTTCAGCTATATTTGCTGCATATTAATAATTACTTGCTTTTTTATCTGCTTCAGACTGAAGGTTTTATCTTTCATCAGTTCAGAAAAAGTCTGCTTGGGGGGGGTAATTTTGAGACAGGGTCTTGCTATGTAGATTATTCTGGCTTTGAATTTACTATGTAGCCCTGGTTGGCCTCAAATTTGTGGCCACCCTCCTGCCTCAGCTTCCCAAGTGCTGGGATTATAGGTGTGCACCACCATTCCTGGCCAAATCTCTGCTCTTTTCTGTGAATATTGTCTTAACTGCACTCAAGTTTCTCATTCTGAAAACCTGTTCAAGCAGGGCATAGTGGCACAGGCCTGTAATTCCAGCACTTGAGAAGCTGAAATAAGATAATCATAAGTTAGAGGCTACATAGTGAGTTCAAGCCCAGTCTGAACTACACAGCAAGATCCCTGTCTCAAAAAAAAAAAAAAGAAAGAAAGAAAGAGAGAGAGAAAAAGGAAGGCTATTAGATGAATTTTAGGTCATCTCAAATTTATGCCTTCTTTTTGTTGTTGTTGTTTTTTTGGGTTTTTTTTTTTTTTTTTTTTGAGACAGGTTTTCACTATGTAGTTTAGGCTACCTCAAACTCAACTGTGTAGCGCAGGCTTGCCTTGAACCCAAAGTGATCCTCCTGAGTGCTGAGATTACAGGCATGTGCCACCGCACCTGGCTAGAACTACCAATTTTTTAGTCATGGTTTCCACTGTTTAGTTTCCCTCATTATACAGTATTTTTCCATTTCCAGTATTTCTTCTTGGCATTTTTCCCAGATCTACCTGTTCATTATCCATGTGCTCATCTTTTAGCCTATGACTTGTATTCTTTACTTTATCTCTATGAGGTCTCCTTTAGAATTTTCTATCATCTCTTTTTAGGATGTGAATTTTTTCATTTGTGCATTTGGGGGCTCGTGTAATCCTTCTCATGTATTTTGCAGTTTGTACTCAGCTGGTCTTCAGAGACTGTTGTTTTCTAGGTAATCCACTCTCCAGTACTCTTGGCTGTAAGCTGCCCTACCAGTTAATTTCCATTGCCACTGCTAGGACAGTTCAGTTTTACCACTGCTAACCAGTCATCAAGTCAGTAACTTACTCCGATATCTATACCAAGTGCAGAGTGCAAATTTGATTTCAGTATTCACTGGTGGCATAGGCCTGGGATTTCTTTCTATGTGTTCCTGAACTCATGGCAATCCTCCTACCTCAACCTGCCGGGATTATAGGCGTGTGTCAACATTCCCAGCCAAGAGCGATTTCTTTCATGAGCTCTTTTCCGTTAACAGCCCTGGCAGCAATCATGCTTCCTTGCCACTCTACCCCCAGGCCAGTGGGTGGCGCTGTGGTTGCTGCTTTCTATTGCTTTTCACGTTAGGAGGCAGTTCACTCATTTTTTACGGGGAGTTTAAATCCATGCCCAAAGTCAAGGCTTTATCATCCATTCATGTGCTAGCTTTATAACCCTAGCACTAAACGGCAGCAGTGAGTCATAAGTCACCTGAAACAATGCAATTTCTCAGAGACCTCTCAAATAAACTTTAAGTAACTTTTGTGCTAGCAGGAAACATTATGTACTAAAAAACAAAAAGACACAGTATGTACCTAAATCAGACTGTCCTTAAGGGCTGTTTCCTTTCTGACCCTCTCATCTCTCCCACCCCTATATTCCTGACACCTTTCTTTGGTTCCTCCTTTTGGATCGTAAGCCTGATTGTCTTTCTTGGATCGTAAGACTGACTGTAAGTCTTTCTTTTATTTTATGGTTTGTCAATGTGTTAACATCTTCCAGCACTTCTGTGAGTTTCAAGGAGGAAGAGAGATTTCCTGGGTCCTCCTAATCTGTCATATTGACTATAAATGTTCCTATCTCTCATTTTCACCTTTTCCTAAGATGGTCATCCTTGTTAGCACGGGAACTTTTCTTTGGGAAGTCTGTTATAAAGTGGACAGTATCAGATACGTTTCCTTGGTTATATTTTCTCTTTAGGTTTCGGAGTGGCACAGACCAAAGCCATCATGACGCTAGTGTCTGGGATTCCAATGGGTCCACCCCGGCTCCCACTGCAGGAAGCCACCAGGGAGTTTACTGACAGCGCTGCAGCTAAGCTGAAGAGCCTGGATTTCCTCCCCTTTGCTGATTTAAAGGGTGGAAACTTGGGAGCCTATAGCTAGGACCTTTCTATAAATCAGGCTATATACACTGAAAACTCTTCTACCTTGAATAACACTCTTTCCTCAGGGACTTTTTAGATGAACTTGAATTAAACTTCCTCTTAGCAAATGAAATCTCACATCAATCAACAAGTATCTAAGTATCTAACTACAAGCCTAAAATTTCTTATTTTGTGAAGGTGTAAAAACTCTAAAAGGAGTCATGAACCCCAGCTTTTCATTTCACAGCTTTTTTTTAACAGAGAAATTTCTGTTTATATGGATGAAATGGAATTAAGAGGAAAATTATGATTAATTAATTCCACCTGTCTTTGGGAACACTCATTATCTTGATTTAGTCTTATTTTAAGGTTTTCTAACTTTAAACTACTATAATGTACTGTCATTTTAATAAATACTCATTTGGAATCCAGGAAAACTCATGTGTTGCATTTAGCAAGCAATTTAATTTTAATACCAAATTATAACGTGATCCAAATATATATATGTTTGTTTTGTTTTGTTTTTTGAAACACTATGTAGCCCAGGGTGGCCTTGAACTCCCTGAAGTTCTTCTGCCTCAGCCTCCTAAATGCTAGGGTTGGTTCAACTGTATACAATTCACACACCAGTTCATTTGGCCACTTAATCTAACTCTAGAACATTTGCTTTCAGATTAATTTTAATGCACAATTATCCCCCAAAACTTTGGGTCCAGGGGCCAGGGATTTAGCTCAGTTGCATAAGCACTTGCCTTGTAAGCACAGTCATGAGTTTGATCCCTGATACAAAAAAAATGAAAAACCTTGGGTCCAGTTAGGACTTACATCAGCTGTTGTAAATAAAGGGTTATGAGCATGGTGGTGTGGTTTGGATGTAACTCCTATGTGCAGAAACCTTGGTCCTTAGCCTCCAGATGTGGGAGGTGGTAAACCTTTATGAGCAGGCCTGGCAAGAGGTCCTTAAACCCTAGGGGCTTCCCACAAAGGAGAGCCTGGAGTTCTTTGTTATACAAGCCTGGGCCTGAGCCCTGACTTGCTTCTCAGCTTCCTCTTTGTCTGTGTGATCTCATTTTTGTAAGTACTCCTGCCATCTACCATGAAGCCTTCACCAGAGCTGACACTGCACCCTGGAGCCTCTAAAACTGTGAGCCAAACAAACTTCTTTTCTTTATAAACACTCAGCCTCTGATATTTTACTATAGTACCAAAAATGAACGTGGACTAGAGTTAAAGGGATCCATCATCAGGGCTTAAGTGGTAGCCCTTCTAAAGCATCTGTTACTAAAAGCAGTTCACAGGCTTTTTCTCTTCATTCTTCTCCAAAGATGAATTCAAGTCTCTGCTTTGTGCAGTAATATAGAGAACAGAGCTGGGGATTTAGCCCAGTGGTGCAGCACCTACCTGGGAAGCGTGAGGTCTTGAGTTTAATTCCCTGTACCAACAACAACAAAAAAAGATGATATAATATAGAGAATTACTTAAAGCAGAACATTTCAAAACAAAAAACAAAACCAGAAGGACTTCTGCATGGTTTCTGTGTTCATTTCCAGCCTCAGCAATTTCTTCTTGCAGACAGCAGTGCCTCAGAGTAAAAATGGAGCCCTAAGAGATGCCCTTCACAGTTTCTGTTCCTCACATCTTCCTATATCTCTCAGCTCTTTGGGAGGTTCAAAGGCTGAGGAAAGAGGATCACAAGTTCTAGGCCAGGGAATTTTATGAGACCCTGTATTAGAAAAAAATAAAGTAAAAGGGCATAGTGCAATGTAAAGGCTCTGGATAACAATTTTTTTTTTAATTTTTAGGTAGACTGAGTGATTTTTTGTGGGGTTTTTTTGGGGGGGAAGGGGGTACTAGAAATCAAACTCAGGACTTTGTGTTTGCCAGACAGGCACTTATACCACTGAGCTATATCCCCGGCCCTAGACTGAATGATTTAATGAAAATTATTTTTTGTAGTTCTGGAGGCTGGTATGTCCAAAATCAAAGTGCCAGGTGAGGGCCCACTTCCTGGTTTGCAGGTGCATCCTCGTATGAAAGGAAAAGGGCTCTATCCAAGTCTTCCTCTCCTTTCATTTTTCTTTGTTTGTTTTAGTTTTTGAGACAGAGTCTTGCCGTGTAGTTCAACTGGCTTTGAACTACTCATATAGCCCAGGCTGGCCTTGAACTCACAGCAATCCTCCTGCCCCAGCCTTCTCAGTGCTGGGATCACAGGCATGAGCTTCCACACCTTGCTTAAATACTGTTTTTTTTTTTAAGAGGATACAACCAAGGAAAATGAAACAATAAAACCAATCAAAATAAACTGGTATAAGTGATACAAGACTTCAAAACCAACACTAGTTACCATAATGCCTTTTGTTGTCTTCAAAATAGCTGCAGATACCTTTGGACATAGTAAAAATTGAACAGAACAGAACAATAAAGCCAAAATAGTGATGCAATAAAGGACTTGAAAACAAGCCAATAGTAAATCCCAAATGGCTACCATAATATGTCTTGCTGTCTTTCAAATAGCTGTTCATGCCATCAGATTTAACATAATCAAACAAAAGAGAATAAACCCAACCCAAGAAAACAATGAAAATGATACAGTTTCAAGGCAGGCATCTTCTTCCAGGGAGTCCTGGTTCCCTCCACAGTCCACGAGTGGCTCTCACTCACAGAGAGAGGCTTGTCTGTGGCTGGCCCCAAATTCTTTTTTTTTTTAATCCATTTTATTCAAAGATAAAAGGAAATAAAAAACTATAAATTTCAAAACACATCAATCATTGAGCAACAATGGTACATACATTGCACACTGTCATCTCCAAATCATTCAGCCAGAGTACAAGATATCTGTATTCAATTGTCCAAACAATATCAGTATAAATCTTTCTCTTCAGTGAACTCAGAGAAATCAGTAGTATAACTGATACAGGACAATGAAACTCCTGAACTACCATGTCTGGTACGAGTTTGTGTTCTCTAAAATCGAAGAATAAATTTTAGGAACAATGGAGGTTAAGAGCAGAAATATTTACTGAGAGAAAGAAAGCTTCTGTTTGAAAAGAGACAGAAAGGGTACCAAGTGGGTTGCTAAAGATTCTGTATTTTCTAGGGATTTTTATAGAGTAAAGCCGTGATGTGAGGTGGGTCTAAAGTGGGGAAACTGGAAATTTGCAAGGTAGACAGACATGAGGTGAGACAGAGCTATGGCCAATGAATAAGTTTAATTATTTGGGTAAAATTGACCAAATTAGGGACAATGGGGAGGCTAGCAAGTGAGCATTCTTTATAGATTAGTAAATCTGTAGGGGGTTGGGATGGTGACTCCTGGCTTCTCAAGGTGATGCATACCTAATCCCTAAGGTTTATAGTTAAGGATGTGGTTGCATTTGTTTTGCCTTCTGTTTTCTGTTTTGAGATCTGGCCCACAGCAAGAGGTGTGTGTCTCCTCCAAGGTCACAAGACGTCTGGTCCTGGGGCTGGGGATTTAGCTGGGGATTTAGCTTAAGCGTTTGCCTGCCTGGCAAGCACAAGGTCATGAGTTCAACCCCCAACACCAAAAATAAAAGACATCTGGTTCTCTGTGCCTGCTTCTTCCAGGGCCTAGCCCTGTCTGACTGCCTATAATACCTCTAACTAGCTCAGCTACCTGTAACATAACTACCTTAATTTTTTTTACATACATATACATACACATATACATATGTTTCTTCTTTCAGCTTGTCACACTAATGAAACAATACGAAGTTTATATATGTGTCTATTTATTTCACTAATGAGAATGTTCTCCATTTACCTATAAAAGTGTTTAGGTTATCATTCTTTATGGCTGAGCAGACCTCCATTGTATAAAAATACCACATCTTTTTTATCCATTCCTCAATCCATGTATACTTAGGTTGTTTCCAAGATCTGGCTACTATAAACTGTGCTGCTGTAATCATGGGTGCACATTCATCACTGTGGTATGATGTTTTTAATTCTTTTGGGAAGATACCCAGAAGGGAAATAGCTGGTTGAATGAAACCTCTAGTCCGAGTTTTTTGAGGAATCTCCATACAAATTGCCACAACCGTTGCACCAGTCTACACTCACACTCCCACCAACAGTGGAGAAGGGTTCCTTTTTCCCCACAGCCCCTCCAGCATTTGTTATTGATTGATTTCTTGATACTAGCCATTCTTTCTGGGGTAAGGTGAAATCTCAGTGTTGTTTTAATTTGCATCACTCGAATGACCAGTGACACTGAACATTTTTCACATTTTTTCTGATGATTGTATTTCTTCATCTGAGAAGTGTGTGTTCATCTCGGTGCCTATTTTTGGATTGTGTCTTTAAATCTGGGAGGGCTGCTTTTTTTTTTTTTTAGTTCTTTATATGTTCTCAGTAGTCCATTGTCTGAGGAACAGCTGGCAAACATTTTCTCCCACATTGTGGGTTGTCTACTCTTCATGGTTTCTCTTGCTGTGCAAAAGCTTTTCAGGAGGGTGAAATCCCAGTGGTTGATTCTTTGTGATAGTTCCTGTGCAATCTGGTTTTTGTTCATAAAGTCTTTGCCTACACCAGTGTCTTCAAGAGTTTTACTTTGTCTTCCAGCAGATTTAACATTTCTGTTTTAATATTAAAATCTTTGATCCATTCCAATTTTAGCTTAGTACATGGTGAAAGATATGAGTCCAGTTTTAATCTCTGGCATGTGTAGAGCCAGTTTTTTAAGAACCATTTATTAAAGAGGCTATCTTTTTTCCAGTGAATGTGTTTGGCATCTTTGTCAAAGATAAGGCAGCTTAGGGGCTGGGGGTTTAGCTTAGCGGCATAAGCGCCTGCCTTTCAAGCAGGCAGTCGTGAGTTCAATCTCTGGTACCGATAAAAACGAAAAAGACAAAAAAAAAGGTAAGGTGGCTTAGTATGTCGGGAGTTGTTTCTGATCTTCTAACCTATACCATTGATCTTTAGGTCTGGTTTCTTGCCAGTACCATACTTTTTACCATAGTAGCTTTATTGTATAATTTCAAGTCAGGGATTATGATGCTCCTTCTCTTGCTTGTCTTTGTTGCCAGGACTGCTTTCCTATTCTAGGTCTCTTCTGGTTCCAAATGAATTTTAGGATTGTTTTCTCTCATTCTGTGAGATATGCTGTTGGACTTTGTTTGGGGTTGCACTGAATCTGTATAACAGTTGTGAAAGTATGGCCATTTTCACTACATTGGTTCTTACCCAAGAGCACAGGATATCTTTCCATTTTGTAATCAATCAATTTTCAATTCAATCTCCTTTTTCAGAGTACTATAGTTTTCAGTGTAGCGGTCTTTTACATCCTTTGTTATATTGATTCCTAAGAATTTCATTTTTTTGCATGCTATTATAAAACATATTGTTTCCCTGATTTCTCACTCAATGATTTTGTTTTGCATGTACAAGAAGGCTATTGCTTTTTGAGTGTTAACTTTGT